AGGCGAAGGCAGAGCGACTTTTCGGGGCGGGAACCGTCAGCGCGAGTCGACGGTTGCGGGTGCTCGTGGTCTAGGCGGTGGGAAGCGGGCATCAGACCAGACCCCCCCCTCTCAGCTTCTGGCGGTTTGGCAGAGGCTTGGCATGTGAAGATCACCAGCGCGCAATCCGTGCCGCCGGCGCAGGGACCGCCCAAGACATGGCACAACGCTCCCACGCGCCCTCTCTGCCTCGGCTTCACTAGCAGCACGGCGCGCGGGTTTGCGCTGCTCCTAGCACTCACTCACACACACACGCACATAGACATGGCGTTGTTTTTGCGCGTCCAAGCAGCACATGGCAAACGGAGCCCCGTCGCTTACGTACGCACCTACCGACGCCCGCCAGGCGAGGCTGGGGGTCCCGGGTGGAGCGCGGATGCATGCACCATGTATCGGTGTGGCTGTGCTGCATTGCGGAGCCATCTGTGTACTCGCCCAGCCCAGCCCACAGGCGCGTCCCGAGTTACCGCATTCATCCATTTCGATGCAGACATCTATCTATCTATGTAGCATGTATTGTACATTGGTGTGTTCCGACCGCACGCCATCTTGCGTGTGCCTGCAGCAGCCCGCTCTACCTCTTCCTCGGCAGCACAATGTTGGCTCGTGCTGCGACGCCCAGCTTGTGGATGGCATTGCGCCTGTCCCAGATGCCGCTGGTGCCCTGCACGACGGCAATGATCTCGTGTGCGATGCGCTGCGCAAAGCTGTTCTTTCCACTGCCCATGTTCCTCCTCTTGGACGCCGCCGCCATGATCCATTGGATGGCCGCCCGCCGCCGCTGCCTCTGCCCCAGCGGCACCGGGATCTGAAGCGCAACACCACCGCCCGCCGCGCCTCGTTGACTTCGAATGCGCAGGAGCGGTGCCACCGAGTCAATCGCCAGTGTCAGGTAGAGTACGGGGTTGAGCGGAAGGTGTGAAGGCGGGGGCGCGCCGGGGAGCAGCGGCTTCGAGGGGTTGATGGTGGGGATGGGTGATGTTCGGAGGTATTGCAGGATCAGTGCCATGTTCTGTGAACCATGTCAGCGGTGTGTGAACGTTACATTGGTCTAGTGGGCTGATCTACCCGCTCCGCAACGCTCTTCTTGCCGTGTTTCATGAGCAGATTAGTTACCTGGTCAACCACCGGATCGTGTCGATGCTTGACGTGGCCATCCTTGGGCAGTGGGAGAGATGGCATGTCAAATTTCAAGCCTGGTATCGCTGGCGCTGTCGACACCTTGTGCACGTCTGCCAGGCCCATGCCCAGCCCGCCCTCTCCGTTTGTTTGAGTCGTCATGGTCGAGTATGATCGCGATCCTTTTGGCGCGGCGTTTGGTGTCGCTTTGGACTGTTGGGCTTTGAGCTTGTCCTGCATCACCTTGGGCAGCATCTCCTGTGCCGCCTTGTCGCCTTTGACAACCTGCTCCACCGTCAGCGTGCGCCCTACCATGTGCAATGAATGCAATGGACCTCACATCTTCAACTGGCGTGCCCTGGCTAAGGTCGGGTCCCTCTCCGCCCATGGTCTGCGCCATCGAAGCTGCTTCCTCGGAGACATGTTCAATAGGCTTTGCGTCCTCTCGCTTCGAACGGTCGGCGGCGGGCGGTTTCGTTGAATCAGACGACAGGCGGAATTGCGACGGCGTCAATCCGAGGGCTGACCGTGCAGGCCATTGCACATGGCGCTTTGGGCGAAAGGCAATTGGTCGTGCAAAGGCGGCGATGTTTAATCTCGGCGGCATAATGGCGGGTTGTGTCGTGGGTAGAGTGACGTTCTTGCAAAGCGACGCTGAATATTCCAGCCCATTGTCGCGCTACTCGAGTGGTCCGTGCATTCTACGTCAACTCCAAAGATGCATCCCGACATCCACCCCAAACTGACCTCCAGCCTAATCACCGCACTAGTCGCTGCAGCGTATGAGATTGGTTTCACTGCTCTCAACGTGAATATGAGTCACAATGGGAGTCTGATAGTAGCCCGCGGCCGTACAGGGTTCGCTGTTTTAACATGTGCTCCTGTAAATGCTTGCACAATCAGGCCTCGGAGCAAGTGACAGCTACTATCCGGCTGCCATGGAGAGCCAGCATCCCTTCCCAATGGCGGATGGGTGGAGGTCAGGAATCAGGCAGCCGTCGAGCCCAGTTCGGTAAGCGTTTGTGCAACAAACAGAAAGAGCATTGCATGCATCACACACGTCAGTTGATGCCGGTGCCATCCAATGGCTTTCCATGCAGAGCATACTACTTCATCATTAAATTGGCGTCTGACTCACTTTGAACAGCTCATCCAAACTCACCACGCTCTTTAACAGTGCCGCAGTGAGTGATCTTGGGCCGTCTTCACGGCGCTCCCACTCGCCACACCACACGCCCTTGCCTGGAGATCCTCACTGCCTTGCCTCACGGTCGCTAGCTTCCCTGAGACCGCACCGCTACTGCCAACACTCGAGCGCCTTGGATATATGAACAAGTCATAGTTTCAAACTTGACCTTTTCGACCCCACCACCACACCACTTGACAGCTCAACTCAAACATTTCAAACTCTTCCACACGCTACTATCAACCTTTTGTCGTTATCTCCTACCAAGCCATATGCAAGTCACGACTATTCTCGACCTCAACCCTCCCTTCCTTGCCGTAAGTTGTCACACGCTTGTAGCCCACTTGTCGTTGTTTTCAATCCTCTTTCTGTTTCCTATAGGCCAAGACAAGCTGCAATTGGCCTTGAATCATCCTGTAACATAAGTACCTATGCATGTAAACAGCCCACTCATCTCACTCACTTGACGCAGGGACGGTGCTTCAAACCAGTGCGCTCCTGCAACCGAACCACCACCTATCAGCCTTGTATTTTCACTCACACGATTCCTTTATGGCAGGGCGCGGATATGTAGGTGGCGTGCCTAGTGCGCCCTCTCAGCTGCCATTGACATTCGGAAACGGTTACTATACTCTACCAGATCCCACTATTACCCAAATAGAGGACTACATGATGAACAATCAATCATCATCAGCCACAGCAACGAGCTCAACCGACTTGGTACTTCCACCACGCCCTGCATACGGCAAATTCGGGCATCCCGTTGTGCTCTTTGCCAATTACTTTCAGCTCAAAGGCATCGTACCCGAAACATGTCTGTATCGATATTCTGTTGTCATTACTAGCATAGACGGCAACATAGCGAAAAAGAAGAAGAAGAGGGCATTCGACCTACTACTGCAGACGGCTCCTTTTTCCAATTTCAAGATTGCCAGCGACTGCAGCCAGACTCTCGTGTCTGTGGAGAAGATCCCAATGCAGAAATGCTCGACCCACACGATTGTATGGTATCCGGAAGATGGCCAACCGTTTCCTCCGCCTAGCGCAGATGATTCGCCCCAAGTGGAGGCTTCCCGTACAAGGAACACTTACCAGGTTCTTATTGAGGAGCTTGGAACCGTATCACTATCCGAACTTCAGCGCAACCCGAATTACTCGCTCAAAGAAGAAGCAGTCCAAGCACTGAACATCATCATGTCTCATGGGCCTAGAGGCGATAGCAATATTTCAGTCGTGGCTGGTAAACGCTTCTTTCCGTACCGTAACCATGCGCAAGTGGAAATGATTGAACTGGGACGAGGGCTCCAGGCACTTCGAGGGTACTTCAGTAGCGTGCGAACAGGCATTGGCAGGATTCTCGTCAATGTCAACGTTGCGACTAGCACATTCTTGAAGCCCGAGCCGTTGCTTGAGTCTCTCAAGAGCTCGAATGGCGGAGGCCCGCCACGGGACGAGCAGGAGTATAACAAGTTGGCACGTATGTACAAGAAGGTCAGGGTAGGGACCGAATATCTTCCCAACAAGATGGCAGGCGAGCCAGCAAAGAAGCGGTTTTTTCGTGTCATCCACACACTGTCGCGGTGGGGACAGAACAGCACAAACGTCAGGTTCTTCAAGACGGATGCCGACGGCAAGGTGACACAGCCCACGGTGCAAGAACATTTCCAGCAAGCACACAACATAAGACTGGCTATGCCCCGGACACCCTTGGCGAATTGTGGCACAGATCAGGATCCCATGTGGATACCGGCCGAGTTGTGTTTTGTCATTCCAGGCCAGCCAGCGCGACGGCTGCTCGACCCGTTACAAGCAACAAGGATGATTGAATTTGCCGCTCGCAGGCCACCTGCAAACGCGTCGTCTATCGCGGCTCAGGGGCTTGCGGTGACGAAAATCAGTCCGGTGTTGGAGGGAAAAAATGTGCACCTAAGTGGCTTTGGCATTAACGTCAACCCAAACATGATTACTGTGTATGGCCGGGTGCTCATCCCCCCGCAGTTGGTGTACAGGGGGCAGACTCGATGCACACCACAAAATGGAGCCTGGAACCTAAACCCGCTCAAGCTGGGTGCAAACCCGTTTCGAAGGACGAGAAGGCTGCCTTACACGTTCAGCGCTCTGGTGCTTACCGTTGGTCGCCGCACGATGCCGGCTGCAGAGTTGGCTGGACTTGAATACCAGCTGAGCCAATTCCGAAGAACGCTGGGGGCATACGGCATGGAGCCTGCGCCGTTGCGAAAGCCATGCATGGTGGACGTAACCGACTACTTGGCCAAAGCAGATGGCAATTCTGTCAATTCTCTGGCGTTGAGATTGGAGAATGCGCTGCGGGATGCATACTCACTGAAGCCAATGTTTCTGTTTGTGCTTTTGCCGAGTGAGAGTGCGGCGCTGTACGACTCGATCAAGTACATCTGCGACTGCGTGTATGGAATAGCGACGGTGTGCAGCATCCGACACAAGTTTAGCCGAATGGCAGGGCAGGAGCACTACTTTGCCAATTTGGCGATGAAGTTTAATCAGAAGCTTGGCGGGACCAACCACACGGTCGACTTGGAGAGACTGGCGCCTCTGGACGAGCAGACGATTGTGTTTGGGATTGATGTCACGCACCCGTCGCCGGGAAGCTCTCCAGAGGCACCGAGCATTGCTGGTGTGGTGGCTTCGACGGACAGTACATTTTCGCAGTACCCGGCGAGCCTGCGCAGCCAGCAGGGCCGCAAGGAGATGGTGGTGGAGCTCGAGGACATGGTTTTCGAACGGCTGCAGCTTTGGCGGGTGCGGAACCGAATGAGCCTGCCCAACAAGGTGTTTGTATACCGAGACGGGGTATCGGAAAGGCAGTACGGCAGTGTGCTTGAGGAAGAGTGTGGTGCGTTCAAAAAGGCATTTGGGCGGCTGTACGGGGCGGAGGCGAAGCACCCGCGGATGACGTTGATTGTGGTGGGCAAGCGGCACCACACGCGCTTTTACCCGGCCAGGGCAGACTACACGGACGGGAGGACGGGCAACACGAAGCCAGGGACGGTGGTGGATCGCGGCATGACGGGCAACGCCTACGACTTCTTCCTCGTGGCACACCAAGGGCTGCAAGGGACGTCGCGGCCTGCGCACTACATTGTGCTCAAGGACGAGAACAGGGTGGGGGCAGACCAGATGCAGGCCATGACGCACAACCTGTGCTATACATTTGGGCGGGCAACGCGGGCAGTGAGCGTGTGCCCGCCAGCGTACTATGCCGACCTAGTGTGCGAGCGCGGGCGGTCTTATCTGCAGCACGTGCTAAAGAGCAACGACGGAGTTGTTTCTGCGGGCATGTGGTCCAAGGACGTTCACTCGAGCCTGGTGGAAACAATGTACTATATTTAGGGGCAGCATGGGCGGGACGAGGAGAAGACGGTCTTGTGATTTGTTTTGCGTGGGCAGAGTCGACGGTGCTTGCGTGTCGGACACTGGCTGGGCGTGGCAGGCTGTTGGCCGTTGGCTGTTGCACGCCCCTCCCCGCCAACGACCGGCTCTGGGCGATGCGGGCTGGATCAATCAGGACGGCGGGCTGGCGGAGCCCACTTGCAGCCCACGGCCTCTGCCAGTGGGGTGAAACAAGAGTGGCTGGGAGGGGTGGGGGGGGGCGCCCTGCCGCTGGTTGGCTGCCCGCCGCTGCGGCCTAGTGTGGGGAAGGGTGTGACCGCTCCCTCGTCTGCTGTCTGCTGCTGCTGCCTGCCGCCCGCCAGCAGCCCCTCCATGCCCGCTATTATGCCTGCCCGCCCATGCCCGCCCTCGCCCTCGCCTCCCCTCCAGCTCGCCGCGCCCAACTCCCTCCCCCCCCCCGTGAACCACCGTCGCCAGCACCGTCGCTCGAGCACCACCACGCCCCTCTATCGCCCTCCTTGCCCCCCCCCAGCGGCACTTGTTATCGCGCCACGCTATGCGGAGTTGCGCCGCTCCGATTGGTCACATGCACACGGCGTCACGCCGGCCGCAATAGCAGGCGCGCTAGGCTGCTTTGGGCTATACACATGCCCGCTAGGCCCGCACGTGATAGACCCCTACTATCGCTGCACCCAGCACCGCTGCCAACTGCCAACTGCACCGCGCAAAAATAAACAAAAAAAGAGAGGGGGGAAAAAAGACGCCACATGAAATACTCGCCCTAAAAGCAATGGCCCAGGCAAGTGGGCTGCAAGTGCTGGCGGGCGGTTGATCTCCAGGTCAGGGCTAGCTTATCGCTCCCATACCAAGGCGGTGACAGCTTACAGCGCGCCATGGCCATGATCGCATTTCCATTTCCCTCGCCGTTCCGATCCTCGCCCGCCGACCGCCCGACCACCACCACCACCACCGCCGCCACGACTCACTGCACTGCACACTGCACACTGCACACTCCACCCCGCGCACCACTGCACAGCGCACCGCTGCACCCGCCATACCCATCCACTCCCCGCTGCACTGCTCCCGCGCCCTGCAAGCTATCCACGCGTCACAAGGGTACCGAGTGCCCCATGTGCCTGCAGAGCCTCGACCGCCCAGTGGAACCACCGCAGTCCCCCCATCGCGAACCCGCCTCACCTCCGTCATCCCACCACCCCCCCCAGCCAGCGCAACACCTCCCCCCCCACGCCGGCGCAGCAGCCATGATTGAAACAATGGATCGCGGGAGCCTCTACGAACACGACATTCCCTCGCTGAGCGCCTCGCTCGAAGCCTTTGACCCCGAGCGCAGCATGCACTCGACGTACAGCAGCCGCTCCAACCTGCACTCGTCGCGCTGGAGCTCTGCGCACGACGACCTCGACTCCGAGACCGAGTCGGACGGCCCCTGGGCCCCGCCCGCCTGGCAAAAGTCGCAGTCGAGCAACCACTGGTACCGCAAGTCGCTGCTCGGCGAGAGCGCGCTGCGCAACAGCCCCTCCAAGTCGCCCTACCGCTCGGATCGCGAAATCACGCCTTCGCGCATACCCCTCCCAGAGTCGCCCTACAAGATGACGCCCCGCACAAGCCCGGAACCCATACCAGAGGAGGAGCTGCGCTTCCTGTCCAGCACCATCGCGTCGCGCCTCCAGAGCCCCGCCCTCGCCGCCCCGCCAGACGCCGACGCCGACGACGACATGGACGCCATGGACGCCCACCCCACGACGCCCGGCGCGCCCCCGGAAATCGACCTGGCCCTGTCGCATCACGGCTCGGACACGCCAACAGAGGGTTGTAAGTACTCCCGATCCATGCGCGCTGTAGAAACTGACAGCCCTAGTCATGCGCTTTGCTTACAGAGGAGAAGCCAAGTTCCGTACCGCCCCCATTGAAGACACCATCTCCACCTTTGCAAGTGGCCTTCACATCTTCACCAAGTCGCGCGCCAATGTCATCCTGACGCTCGCCACGGTCCTGTTCTCGTGGATCCTGCTGCAGCCATGGACGGCCAGCCTCATTCCCGACGTCGCAAACGTCGCAAACATGGCCAAGCAGTTTGAGCCGCTCCTGTATGCTTCTGAAAACGTCATTCCGCGGTCGCGCGAGCTCGCAGAGGCAAGTATTGCAGTCCAGGACCTGGGCGAGAGCGTCCGAGCCACAAACATGTCGGCGTCCTCAGTCATCATCGACCAGCTCGACGACTTGGGCGACAGCCTCAAGATTCTGTCGGAGAAGATTACGAGCTTCTTCACAAACGTGGATGGTGACATGGACTCGTAGGTATACTTCGCTCGACACTCACACACCCACTAATGACTGTAGCATTCTCATCACCATGGAGTGGGCGAAGCGCGAGCTACAGAGCATACAGGGCCCCAAGATTGGCGTTATTGATACAGTCATAGGCAACATACACGGCGGCCTGAGCAAGATTGGCCTGCTCGAGCGCAATGGCTCGCCCACGCCCATCGGGCGCGTCGTCAACGACGTCCTCGGCCACACGACGCAGCAGCGCTCCAAGGCCACGCTGCAGCGCACGTTTGACTACCTCCTCTCTACTCTGGAGGAGAACATTGCAAACGAGCTGGCGCGCGCAGACGTGCTGTTCCAGCTCTTTGAGAGCGTGGACCGCCAGTTCCACAACCTCCACCGCTCCGTCGCCAAGGAAGAGGACTCGCTCGCAAACCGAAAAGACGAGTTCCTTGCCTCCATGTGGCGCATGACCATCAACAACAAGATGAAGATCAAAAAGTACGAAAAGAACCTCAAGCTGCTCAAGGACGTGCGCGCCTCGACTCTGATCAACAAGTCGGAGCTCAAGGGCCACATCCAAATCATCCACTCTGTCAAAGACCAACTCGACAAGGCGCGCAAAAACCTCATCAGCCCACTGATCCGCCGGGCCCAAAGCAACAGCTTCGGCCTGGAACAACAACTCAACGACTTGACCGGAACCTATGGATTTCTCAAAGACCTCCGCGACGGCCAGAAGAAAAAGGTTCTCCAGCAACTATGGGGCGAGCCCAAGAAACGCATCTCCATTACGGCTGGCGGGAGAGAAGAAGAGATTGAAGAGGGAGAGCACTAAAAAAAATACCTCTCCATTATTCTCTTGTGTCGCTCTCTCTCTCTCTCTCTCTCTCTCTCTCTCTCCTCTTCTTCTTCTCCATTATAGACTCTTTTTCTGGCGTTTGAGGAGAAAACACACACACACAGATACCTGGTTGAAAGTCTTATCATCATCACCTTTTTCACTAGCATAGCAAGCGACTTGGCATAGACAAATGGAGAGCGCGCGTCTGAGGGTTCTTATCTTTTGCTTCTATCCATTGGCGGCGTTTTGCTGGCGTCACAACATCACTCATCGGAGACACTTACGCATGTGGTTGGGAAAAAACATGTCGTCGTCTCTGTCTCTCTCTCTCTCTCTCTCTTACAACAAGCGATTTTTGTTGTTATTTAGTCATGGGTGCTTGGCGTTGTTGTTGTCATTTCTGGCGCAACAAGGCGACTCGAGGCGTACATGGCATCCTGAGCCGGATTGGATCGGATTGGATTGGACTGGACTGGACTGGAATGGAATAGAATGGAATGGATTGATTGGGTTGGGTTGGGATGGAATGTTTTGGGTTTGTGATTTGAATTGGATTTGGATGGGATTGGCTTGGGTCTGGACTCGGTCGGAAAGGATAACTGCGTTGATTTTTTTTTCTTTTGCGTACAGTGTAAGGTATACCTGTTTCATAGGCTTGTATACGTCTACGTAGCTGTTTTGAATATAGCATTCAAACTTCACGCTTGTGCCTTTTTCAATATCTTGTAGTGCCTTGTACAAGACATGCTATCGCTTGTTTCCAAAGCATGTTTACGTAGGCTGATGTCCTCCCAGCTTGCCCGGAACAGGAAAGGTGAAAGTGTAGCCATCTCGCCGTTGCACTAACCGTTTCTTTTCTTTTCTTTTTCCCTTCTTTGTAGGGTTTCGTAAACATCCTGATTAGGCATTCCTTCCACTACTTAGGTTAACGGCATTCTGCAACTACATGTGAAACCCCTTTTTCTTCCTCACACCACTGCCACAACAGCAGTCGGATAAGAAAAACAACGAATAAGATGTTCTATCGAATCTTAGAGAAAAAAAAAGAAATAGAAGAGCAAGTAAGAGAGGGAAGAAGAAGAAGAAGAAGTTAAATCAATCCAGCCCTCAACAGCTGATTCCCAAACTCGAGTAAATAGTAATCCGCATACACCAGCCCATGATCCTTATACTTTTGATGCGCATGCTCATTCCAGTTTGTCGTGCTATGTCTCAGAATAGCATCGAAGGGGGATTCATCAACCAAGAACTGTTGTTGTTGTTGTTGTTGTTCTTTGTCCACCGCCACCACGCCATTCGCATGTCCATTACTCGGCGCCACCGTCTTCGCAGGCACCCTGAACGAAGCCAGTGTGCCATCATACGCCAGCTCGAGCGTCTGCGCCACGGTCTCCAGCGCCACAGCCAGGAAATCCGGGGTTGACGTCTGGCCCGGAGCTGCCATTTGCGCCGCGACTGGGGCGCTCACGCCCTGCAGCGCCTGGTGCAGAATCAGAAACCCGTTTGCGGCTATGACGCCGGCAGATACGTCGCGCAGCGGGCTTGCAGCATCGTGCTCGGCATCCAGCGGGGCGTCAAAGTCCCAGCGTGGCACCAGACTGCACGCCCAGTTCCCGCGGCCCTCGGCGCAGCGCGCGAGAAAATACTCGGCACAGCGCATCGCCGTCGCCAGGAACCTTGTGTCGCGCGTCCACATGTACGTCTGCGCGAAGCCCATGATGGCCCACGCTTGGCCGCGGCTCCATGTCGAGGCGTCGGCGTGGCCCTGGTTGGTGAGTTTGGACTGCGGGAGTCCCGTGTGCGGATCAAAGTTTACCAGGTGGTACGACGAGTAGTCTGGGCGTAAGATCTCGCTGATGATGGAGTTGGCGTGCGTCGTGGCAATGTGGGCGAGGTGTGGTGACGCGGTGTGGTGCGCGGCGAAGTAGAGGAGGTCGAGATCTAGGTGTGGGATTGTTAGGAGTGGGATTGTTAGGAGTGGGGGAATGTGGATATGGAGAAGGAGGAGGAGGAGTAGTAGCAGAAGAATTACAATGCAGACTGGGAAATCAGAATACAAAAAAAAAGAGAAAAGAAACATACTACACATGCTATCGATGATGACCAAGAAATTCTCCTGCATATCAGTAAGACTATACCGGTCATTCACCGCAACATCCCAGCTGCGAATCGCCTTGACACGCTCATCATAGCGCGATGCAAGCGCCTCAGCCGCATTGACAACGCAAGCCAGACTGTCCTTGTTGCCCGTCAACTCCCAGTCGCGCTGCAGCGCGGGCTGCACGATGAAGCCCATGTCGTGCGTGTCTGTGCGGCTCGACATGTCGCGGATGGCCACGCTGTAGTGCCGTCCCAGCTTCAAAAGATGCTCTTGGATCCCCGGGCGCAGTGCCGCTGGGAGCGACACGGCTTGCGGGTACTTGATGCTGCGCTCCAGTAACGCGTAGATGCAGCCGGGGAAGAAGCCGCACGTCCAGAAGGAGGCTTCCCGCTCTTCGTAGCGGCCTGCATTGGGTCCTGTCTGGGGAACGGTGTGTGGGTAGGATTGCAAGGGGGCCTGAATGACTTTTGTTAGGACTGGTGCAAGGGAACTTGGATATGGGGATTGCAAGATTGATTTACGCACTTGTTGCTTCAGGCCTCGCTGTGCGACTTGAATGATCTTGGCGAGCACGTTTTCAGAGTAGATTGCGCTGAGATTGAAATTTTTGACTCTGGCATGTGAAGGCTTGAGTTAGAATAGGTTTCATCCATGGAAAAAAAACACGGTTTTTTTTTCTTACACGCCGGCTTTGGGAATTTCGCTGATGTCTTGAATGGCACCTCCCATCTTGACTCGTTTTGCGGAGTTTTTTTCTTGGTGAAACGAAAAAAAGAAGAAATTTTTTTTGAAATAGATGTGGTGAGGTGTTGTGGTTGCTCTTGGGGTACTTGGAGTATTTAGAGTACTTAGATAAATGACTCTATCCTTGAACAAGACACAAAATGCTTCTTGGAGGATACCACAAGGACGAGAAGAAGGTGCAACTGAAAGACGCTTGCAAATGCAATCGTCGACGTTTAACCCGCATCTGAGCGACACAGGGCGTTATTTCAGTCGTCCATCTGATCCGTCATCGGGTTATCTCTGTCCATACCTTAGGCTCGACGTGTTAGGCGGGAGCGAGCGGGGATCGGCATTACACCGATGCCCGCAACCTCCGCTCCGCCCCCGTCCGTCTGTTGTCGACAACAAAGGTAACACGCCCGCCCGCACATATACATGTCGCTTGCAGCGTGGAAATGTACTCTGGGATAGGAGACCCCTGTCTTTGCTCCTTTTCCGTTTCGCTTAATACCCCAGAAAACTTGTTGTTTTTCCTCGCGAAAGGTCGGACCGCGTTATTGCCTAGAATGCGTGTAATATGGCACTATACACGGAGCAATTTCGGTCCACTACTGTTATGGCGTGTGGTTGCAAGGCACGGTCTTTATATCTGTGTGTATATATATTATTATTATTATTATTATTGTAGTTTAACGTCCTTTCTCAGCCCAAAGGGCTATATAAGACGTGCAGGCTTAAGGCCTGCAAGTAACTACGTAGGCTAGAATTTAATCTAGGTACAAATTGAGTAGGTACAATGTAGGGGGTTATCTAAATGAAGGTGAGGCTCGTAGCCCAGTAGTTTTTTAGTGAGTAACTCTCTCAGATCTTTCACTTTAAATGAGTCTTCCTCTCAAGTTTTAACGAGTAACTCTCTCAGTCGAATAGGTAGTTTAATGAGTAACTCTCTCATGTGGGTGGACCATAAATATGGTTGTGAGGGGATGTGTGTATATATAGCCCAAGTGAAAAATTCTAGAACACCTCCGGACAACTGTGATACTATCCAGCCCAACCATCTTTGTACCCGTCCGTCACGATGCTGCCTCGTGTCGTCTTGGGATTCTTGCTGATGTCTCTGGTGGCTGCCGCCCCGGGATCCGTGGAGAAAAGGCAGAAAGTCACTGCGCTACCATTGTCGACTCGAGGCCGAGACATCATCGACGGTACTGGCAATGTCTTCCATTTCATCTCCACAAACTGGCCAGGACACCAGGAAATCATGATCCCCGAGGGCCTTCAGTTTGCCTCGGCCGAGGACATTGCAGCGCGGCTCCCAAAGCTTGGTCTCAACTCCGTACGCATGCCGTTTGCAATTGAAATGGTAGACGACTACCTGGCAAACAGCCCCAAGCAGACGCTTGAGAAGAGCGTCTTGAATGCCGTCCCGGGGACCAACGGAACCGATTTGTTAAACGCCATCTTGAAAAACAACCCGAAATTCACAAAAGACACCACCAGACTGCAGGTCTGGGATGCCGTTGCCCAGGCGCTGTCGGACCAAGGCATCCTCATCCACCTTGACAATCATGTCAGTAAAGCCATGTGGTGCTGCGCTCAGGACGATGGAAATGACTGGTTCGGAGAAAAGTACTTTGATGTGGAAAAGTGGAAGCAAGGCCTCGCATTCATGGCCAAACACGCAAGTACAGTGCGTAATCAGTGCTGGTGTGTAAAGCTAACCGCTCCAGGCCCAAGAGAACTGGAATACATTTGTCTCGATAGGTCTACGCAACGAGCTGCGTGCCGCGCAGCAGGCCGAACCCGTAGACTGGTACACATGGTACGTCCACATGACGGCAGCCGCCGACGCCGTGCACACGGCCGCGCCCAATGCCCTCATCTTCTTCTCTGGCCTCTCCTACGACACCTACATCGACCCCATCCCGCTGGGCCAGCCGCTGCAAGGCACCGCCAACACGGCGACAGCCGGCAAAACCGCGACATTTGACCCCAGCACATTCGCGTGGAAGAACAAGATTGTGCTCGAGATCCACAAGTACGACTTTGAGCAGACCCATGACGATTGCACCACCTTCAAGACCAAGTGGTACCAAAAGGGCTTCCAGGCCGTCAACGCCTCCGACCCAAATACCAAGCACCTTTTCCCAATGGTCATTTCAGAATGGGGCTTCATTAACAACGGCGTCTACTGGAACCAAACCACGTATGCAGCGTGCCTCGTGGAAATGGTCAAGGAGTACAAGGTTGGCTCCATGAATTGGGTGCTGGCCGGTAGCTATTACCTACAGACGCGTCCCGGCAGAACGCCTGCTACGCTCATCGGACCAGATGAGGCGTGGGGCATTTTGAACTATGACTGGTCGGATACCAGGTCGCCTGTTACCGTGGAGAATAGTCTGCTCAAGATGGGAGAGGCGTTGAGTTAGTGAGGGTTTTGGCGCTATTTTATGCGGTTTGGGGAGGACATGGGTTGGATCTGTAGAGGGGTTTAGTCATTGCTGAGATAACTGGATTATAGTATGGTAAATACATACAATTTGCCACAGTCATTTCAACCAGTACCAAGGCATAAACGGTCACAGTGTACCTAACTGTTGTCTTGTATTGTGTACTCTACTGTGTTGTGAAAGCCGCTGCATTAGCACGCCGAAATCACTCATAAAACAAACAAACTGTCGCAGTATACATAGCCTCCGCTGACGAGGTTAGAGAATGATATTTTCCTCCAGCAGAAATACATTCTAGCCGTTTGATATACAAGTTGCAAGAAGATGAATTGCGCGATTTTTCATGAAAGCTTATCACAGGAACAATGCTAGTACGTCCACCAACTCAGCGGCTAAGTTGGCACAGCATGTGTTATCCTTTTTCGATAGATCTTGCATCGATCTACAAAGACGTTCAATAAGACATGCACACAAGTGTATCTATCCCTTTTGTACTACCGCAAGTCACTTCCTAACATGGCTATTTCCTGAAGAGAAGACATTGTGTGGTGCGAAAATAGGCAAGGGATGTCCCTAGATCAAATTGTGGCAATCGCGTGAGTGGCGATAAGGATAGTATCAACCTATTCCTCCACAAATGAAGAGCCAGGGATGATTTTCTATACTTGGTGGCGTCTGCAGGCATCGGGTTTATCGTCTATTGAGCTGAGGCATGTAATAGGTCAAGTCCCATGTAGATACCTCGAGGAACACGCCTCGCCAAGCCACGTCTCGCCAAGCCTTCCGACAGCCACGACGAGATGAGCGTCCATCCATGTGGCTCCACCGTCTCTCTCCACAAATATGCAATCCTCCACAGTTATCCGCAGTCCAAGCAGGGTGATCTCCTTGCGTAGTATGTCGGATCATGAGATCTCGGGTGCAAAGAGGCTCTTCCCCGCACCAAGCCATCTACAAGGGGAAATAAGCCGATGCCCGCACAAGACGCGTACATGTCGTTTACCCAGGGCAATGCTTACCACCACAAGGACCATGCCTACAACCACGGGAGCTATTTATTAGACGAAATTTTAGGTACCGTTAAGCCTCGATTTCTCCACCCTACTAGGTACCATCTCCTGTTTTTCTTGCCTCGCATAGTTACTTCCGAGGTCGTGCCGAACACAATCAACAACAATGGCGAGCGCGCAGCCTCCCGACGAGAACAAGGCCGTTGCGAATCGCGCGGCCGACGTCGATACCGGCGTCATTGCGCCTGCGGATGCGCCAAAGAGATCTCCGTGGAAGGCGTGGATGTACCTCTGGGAGTGGTATCCCAAGCACTATCCCCCGGAAGAAAGGAAGCTTTTGAGGAAAATGGACGCCTGCCTCCTGACTTTCTGCTCCTTCATGTGTATGTCGACCCGTGCTCTGCGGAATGCGCAAACACTAAAGACCAGTGAAACACAGTCTTCCTCAAATGGCTCGACTCTTCAAACATTAAAAACGCGTACGTGTCCGGCATGAAGGAAGAGCTGCATCTGTATGGAAATGAGTACTCGCTCTTCGACACGTTCTACAATGTCGGCTATCTGGTCTTCCAGGTCCCGTCGCTGCTATTCCTTTCCCGACCCAAGCTTGCAAAGTACTACCTGCCCACCATGGAAGTGCTCTGGTCTATTGTGACGTTCTGCCAGAGCCAGATGCGGAGCAGAAACGACATATATGGCACTCGCTTCTTGCTGGGTCTCCTGGAGACTCCCGTAGCCTCCGGTACGACGTACGTTCTCGGTTCTTGGTATAGGCCGGAAGAAGTTTTCAAGCGCACCGGAGTCTGGTACGTGTCTAACAACATTGCCGTCATGTTCGGTGGCTATCTGCAGGCTGCGGCCTACAAGAATCTCAATGGGTGAGTTTGCAGGTGCCCAATCTTCAAACACCATGCTCAAGTGTCGTAGGGTTCACGGCATGTCCGGATGGCGTTGGCTGTTTATTATCGACGGTGTAATCTCCCTGCCAATTGCTCTTGCGGGATATTTGATTTTCCCCGGCCTTCCGAGTAGCAAGAAGCCGTGGTGGCTCACGAGCAAGGAACACGCATTGGCTCGGTCGCGCATGATCAATGCCGGTGTAAATCCTAGCCAAGACCTAAGCTGGGCCGTGGTAAAGCGCACGCTTACGCGCTGGGAATTCTATATTGGTGTCCTCTGCTACACCTTGTAAGCCATACACGTTTTAGTGAGGTCTCTTCGTACTGACACACAATCAGCTTCCTATCGTCATCCTACCCTCATGGCCAGATGGCCATCTGGCTCAAAGACCTGGCGGCTAAACACCCGGGTGCGTACACGGTACCTCAGATCAACACGATTCCTACTGGTGCCCAAGGCGTCTCCGTGTTTGCCGCTATACTCGCCACGTCGCTCTGCATAGTCTACCCTCTCTGGTCCATCTTTTCCATTGTACAGGCCATATACATGGTCGCCAACATCTCGCTGCTGGTCTGGAACATCCCCAAAGGCTGGCACTTTGCCTGCTACTACCTCCTCGGAGTCTCTGCAGCAATCACACCCATCCTCATGCCCTTTATCAACATGGCGCTGCGCGACGACGCCGAGGCACGCGCCGTCACCGTCGGCGCAATGCTGACTGCAGGATGGGCCGTGTTTTCCTTCTACCCCATTACCGTGTTTCCCATTGTCGAAGGCCCGAGATGGACAAAGGGGTACGCGGTCAATATTTGCTTCATCGTCGCCTGCTGGGCTACCTTCCTCGTCATGCAGTATCTGTATAAGAAGAGCGAGAATAGGCAGCTCCCGCATGTGGGCGGAGGACCTGACAATGACGACGAGGAGCGCATGAGCGGTGTGGATGTCAAGAATGGCGTGCAGATGGAGGTGGAGCATACTGACCTGCGCAAGTAGATGTAGGTAATCATGCAATTGAGAAGCTTAAGCTTTATTATAAATATGAGTCTGGTGATGTCGAATGGTGCGATTATTGTTGGGAGACTAATCTGTGAATTGGTATAGTGCCTGATCAAGTTCAGGATACGGCTGAGCACGACATCAGCTGCTGCAAATCCATAGCCGCAGTATGACAGAGAAGTGACAAACGAAACCGACATGTTTAGGCTTGGCTGTCGAGAGCCCGCTGACCAGGACAAACGATTACTAGCGATGTATCTAAGCTGTCCTCAGCGTCTTTTGCGCAGTCCAACGCGTGTCGTCGCCCAAGCACAACATCAACGTCACAGCGTCGTCGTACCGAAAAATCTCATACCTAACCATGAAAAAAAAGGTGACATAAAACACACTTTGTTGATCCATGGGCTTCCTCCTCCCCATACTTAATAGCGTCAGCATAACGCACAGCCAACGTGAACGTGCCGTGTTGCAGAAGCTTGACGTGAATCCCATGGCATAGTGGGGTACGTACACAGACTCCACATACTTACAGTACAGCAATCACAATAGCCCCCAGCCATGGAAAAGTTCCTAGTTCCAATTCCGCATCTTCCACATCACAGCGGGGAATGGAGCAGAGACACACAATCACACTCACACTCACCAAATGTCCCATGTTATCTCAGTATGATGTCGTCGTGCCGCGTACGCGCTAGCACAGTACCGTCCAATCAGGTGCTTCCCATGGGCAGCCCTGTGGACCCCGCTGCCCCGCATTCCGGGATCCCGGTGCCATGGCGAAGACCCACTTTGATAGACCCCCCCCCCCGCGGCTGTATCTGTCTGTGTGTCTGTCTGGTGGTGCCTGCAGGATGCGCACTTCAGCATCGTGATAACGGAATCAAGGCACGGGCGGTGGCAAGTTGTGATCGATCGTATTCGGTTTCCTGTGGCGTTGAGTTCCAAGTCTGTTTGCTGCTGCTGCTGCTGCGCTGGGAAGTAGGATTCAGCTGGTGCGTTGGGCCTGTGCTGCTTCGACGAATTGTGGGCTGCTGACGCCGCGGAAGTCACGATGCTTTGGCTTGATGATGGGCCAAGGTCGAGTGAGGAAAGGGGGTTACGCGTATTCTGGATGAGCTGGTATTACATCATTTGTGTTTTGTGCAGAGTATACATGTCAGCCAGAGACTGTTGTGTCTTCCCATAGCCATTTCTGACTTTCTCTCTCCTCCATGCCCTGTCTTGCTGTTTACCTACCTACCGCTATCAGACCCTCAAAAAAAATACCACAAGGAATGGCTGCTCTGCGCTCTTCAAGTATGACGATGCGCCGCTTTGCGCGCCCAGCTCTGCCTGCATTGCGCATACAGCCCCTCGCAGGCCGTCTGCAGCGGCGCAGCCTCGCGTCGCACCAAGACGTGACGTATCCGCAGGTTCCGTATGAAAAGGCGGAGAACGTGGGAGAAAAGAAATTCAGCCAATTCGACGTTGCAGGAAAAGTCTTCGTCGTCACAGGTGCAGGCTGTCCTCCTCCCAATTTTCAGAGCAGATATCATGGTTTTGTGCCCAAGGCTAACGTGACGACAGGCGGAGGTCGAGGTCTGGGATTGTGTATGGCGGAAGGCCTGGTTGAGGCGGGTGGCAGAGTACATTGCCTCGATCGGTTACCGGAGCCTCCCAAGTCGTTTCAGGAAGCACAGGAGCGATTGAACAGCCCCGATGGTGGAGACCTAGTGTACCACCGTGTCGATGTTACGGATGAAGGGCCGCTGCAAAAGTGCATTGAGGATATTGCTGCCGAACGAAAAAGACTGGACGGACTCGTTGCAGGTAGGGCAAGCTCATGAGAAAAAAGTGCTGTAGACTGACCTTGTGTTCTGTAGCCGCTGCAATCCAGCAAGTCACACCGGCTCTTGACTTCAAGAAAGAAGACATTGAAAAGATGCTAGAGGTAAACTACACTGGCGTCTTCCTCACAGCCCGCGAATGTGCTCGACAGATGATGAAGTACAAGATCCAGGGCTCCATCTGCCTCATCGCATCCATGAGCGGCACCATTGCCAACCGAGGCTTCATGGCGCCCGTCTACAATTCCTCCAAAGCGGCTGTTGTGCAGCTTGCACGCAACCTGGCCATGGAGTGGGGGAGGAAGAATCCAGACGGTTCAGGCGGCATCCGAGTCAACTCGCTGAGTCCCGGTCACATTGTGACTCCCATGGTTCAAGCCAACTTTGACGCTGGCGAGGCCGACCGCGAAGAGTGGGAAAACAACAACATGCTGGGCAGGTTGAGCACGCCCGAGGAATACAAGGCTGCGGGGCTGTTCATGTTGAGCAAGGCGAGCAGCTACATGACTGGGCATGACCTGAAGATGGATGGCGGTACAACGGCGTGGTAGCCGGTGCTGTCAGTTCCTAGCGCAGTGCGATTTGAGTGTTTTCAGTGTTTTTCAGCGACTGGTCCGGCGTTTGGATGGATAGCGATTCGTCATCAGCTATGGTATGCTCCGAGTAATATTCCAAATATAAAAAATCAAGTGCCAAGATGGATATGATATCAGTGGCAGTGTGGAGGTGTGGTGCGGGACGTACCAATAGCCGTGCGCAGGGTCGCAGGGGCGCCTTCCCCACCCGGCTCTAGTTTACAACCGGACTATCTGTCCTTCCGCCCTCCCCTTGCGACAGCTGTACAATTCGCGAAGACAGACTAGAGAGCGACAACGAGTAGGGTGTGCAAGCGTTTGCAGCTCCCGAATCCCAGGACACGTGCACATCATCACCATGGACCGGTTAGCACGACTAGTCAGCTGCGTGCTGCTTGCTCTTCTCCCCCTCACCGCGGCCCTCAAATTCGACCTGCATCCCGTGGCCGAGCGCGACGCCGCCCGGTACGAGCGATGCATTAGGAACTTTGTTGCCAAGGAGCAGCTGGTAGTTGTTACGGCGACTCTGGACGGATACAGAGGCGATGGACAGAGGGTGAACATGCATGTACGTTTGTAAACCACACACGACAATTGCGTCTGGCACATGCACGCGAGCATTGCAAAGAGTCGCAGCAGCAACCAATTTCACCAGTCAATCGGCCCGCTAACACGACGATTGTCTAGATCCGTGATGCAATGGGCAACGACTACCACCGGCCAAAGGACGTGGTTGGCGAGAACCGCTACGCATTCACGTCGCACGCCGACTCGGTCTTTGACGTGTGCTTCGAGAACGTCTTCACATCGGCCTCGTCGTCCAAGTCGATTACGCCCCGCCACGTGGAACTCGACATTGACATTGGCGCCGACGCAAAGGACTGGAGCTCTATTTCGGCCACGGAGAAACTGAAGCCTGTCGAGGCCGAGCTGCGAAGGATCGAAGAGGTGGTTGCGGAAATCGTCATGGAGATGGATTATCTGAGGAACCGCGAGCAGAAGCTCAGAGATACCAATGAGAGTACCAACGAGAGAGTCAAGTGGTTTGCTATCGGCACCATGGGCATGCTGGTTGGACTGGGTGCCTGGCAGGTTGTGTACCTCCGCGCTTACTTTAGGAGTAAGCACCTCATCTAGGCGCTTGTTGGACTGTCGATTGAGGTGGTTTTCTGGAGCTTTGCGAGGCGTGCTTGGGTGTAAGAGTTGGAGAGACGAGGAAAGGAAAGGAAAGGAATCGAAAGCGAAAGCGAAAGAGCTTGTGTATTGACGCGAGTATGAGAGCAGAATCATGGGAGTTGCATACTTGGCTGGCAGGGCAATTGTTGCGGCGTTGGTAGGATATGATATCAAAATTTCGAGCCGTGCTCATAACATGATAGCGCTCGTGTCCTATTCTGATTTCCTGTGGTGTATGGATAATATGCTGGTGGCCATGTGCGGAGGTATTCCGCCAGTGTACATACGCCTGTGTAAGATGGCATGTGCGCATGTGCTAGTTGGGGAATCATGTATTCTTTTTTCCCTCGGCTCTCTGAATTCTTGCCGGGGCTAGACTCTTGTTCCTTAGACTCGGCTGACGCTGGAGTTGCTGTTGTCAGGCTTCGGGGTGTCAAGGGAGGGCCATCTGCAGTATCGGATGCAACATGTGGACTGCTCAAAAAGGACAGTAAAGAGGACTGAATATCGCTACGATCCAAAGACCGAACAATTAAGACTGTCATTTGAAGTTTGAGAGCAAGATTACAGTTGTATGACGGTCCTTCTACTGTACAAACCAATGGCTAAACAGCAGCCTACATCCCCGCAGATGTATTTGAAATGCCAGTCTCAGCAGTAGGCGCTCCATACGTTACCTACTGCATTGGAGCGGCGGATGTGCAAACAGGACGCAGGAGATGCAGTTGTTAGGACTCATTGAGAATGCCCCGGCACAGTGAGATGCCTCGGAGCATGTCCAGTCTTCTTGTATAATCAAGATGATAATAGTCGTATTCATAAGGCTAGCGCACTTTCAGCCTGGCTGGATGGTTGAGGTACTTAACACTGGGCGATGACGCTTGCTGATTGCTGACCGTAGACTTGGAGTCTTGACGCTGATATCATCTCTAGCGAAACGGCTCTCTCAAGACTGGCGACTACAAATCCTCTGGGATCCTAGCGATAAACCTGAAAGCGAGAGCTCTAGATGCTTTCCAGGGTGTCTGGAGGCATCGAGGCATCGAAAGTGCTAGCCTCAAACGGTCTTTTCACATAGTCATCTTTTGGTACACTTCCTTTTCTCTTCCGCGGGCCTGCACTATCAGAGGCAATGTGTATCCTCGCCCATTTCTTGACCCTTGCAAAGGCTTCGTCAACGGGTGCAGGAAGCTTGCCAGAGTGCACGGCAGAACTTCCGTTGCTCTTCATCAAAACATCGACGTGTGTTCGAACGCGTGTAATGGCTGGATTCAAAGACTGACCAAAGACTGTGTCGCGAAATGATGTGAGGGCAATGTTCCTTGACAGAATAATGTCGCCCACTTTGAGACCTTGCAGGGTCTCGAGAAGCGAACTCTGAACATGTGTATGCTCCTTTGACTCGCAGGGAGGCCGCATCCAGAAGGCAATCTTGAAACCAGACAGAGAGTCATCTGCTACCATGATTTCCCAAAGGTCCATTTTGTAGCCACGCTTTCGAACAAAGACTTCCCGCATTTCGGGATTGGCAGTGACAACGCAAACGAAGTTGGGTGTTGGTGTCTGGGGGTAGATGGCTCGTAGCTTTTGCGCGCTAGGGAGCGAGGCAAGTGGAGTTATACTCAACTTGGGTGGGATGTGACGAACTAACAGGCGTTGACTAGACTCGCCAGGACTATCGCAGCCTGAAGTAGTGGTGTCGAAGGAAGTGTCAAGAAATGATGACGAGCTGATTGTAGTGGTAGGCCCTTCACCCAGTGCTACCTGGGACGACATCAATGTATCGTGGAAGATGAGTGAATGCTCAATCAGCCCATCGCATGTCATTGTCGGGTCGTTGAAATCAAGAGTAGCATCGAGTTTGGTTGTGTCGTCATTGGCGAAAGATGCGAATCGCTCTACTTCAGGGAGCGAGACATCTGCCATGTGGCTGCCGAGTAGAGACCCAGGGAGGTAAGGCTGCTGCCATTCCGTCTGGAGTCGCGTGTTCTTCTTCGCGATGCAGCGCCATTTCATCGCAGGGGTAGAGTCTTGCTTAGACGCCGTGTGAATTGAACCGAGACTGAAAGCATTGCAGACGTCGGCGGGTAAAAGGCAACTATCGCTGAAATCCAGATGTTCACGCCGAGGGGCGCCGTTGAGCATCTTCAGCTTCATCTTCCAGAAGCGGCGCGTCAGCGCGTCACACGTGTAAGCACACGCGGCGGGACTGCCAGGCGGTAAGGCAGCAGCCTCCCATTCGCGTGATAAACACTCAGCCGGCAGCGTCTGGTTGGATTGTGGAGGGGGGATGTGGAGCCGAAAACAAAGGTAAGGGGGGTGTTGAGGGTTTCGGAGAAGACGCGCAAGTACGGGCCAGAAGTGTTAGCTCCGAGGCGTGGTTGATGCCTGGCTCGCCCTACAGCTCGGTGCGATACCCGAAGCCCGAGTCCTTGACTACACCAGCGAGGCCATTATAAAGTAAGCTGACGGCCGCATGCAGTGGTGCCCCGTAATCATTTGCCTCCGACAGTCATTCCCTCACGACAAGGAAGTCACTCCGGCCTGCATTCCACTCTCCCAAAACACCCCGGGCCCACTACGTAAGCTGCGCGCCCACATTCCGCAGCTTGGCGATCTAATCTGCTAATCTGATTTAAAGTCTCAATGACGCCGTCAAACACTGCCGCCCATCGCCCCATCAACGCATACCGAGTTCCTGCCATGTTTAAAAATCTGTCGTACAAGCTGTCTTCAGCGCTGTCGTCGGCACCCGAGGTCCCTACGCCCAAAAGCAACGGCGAATTTGCAAAAGCAACCAAGACGGCCGATTTATTTCCGACTACCGACCCGGCCATTGATGGCGACGACTGTCTGCACGACTGCGCCAGTTGCAGCATAAAATACCCGCGCAAATTCGACATTGATGAGACGGAGGAGCTGTACGGCCATGTCAAGAGTTTCAATACCCATCTTCTCGTGGCGACGGGGAAAAGCGACTGGGTGCGAGATGTTGCCGATGAGAAGGGCAGCATCATGGAGGCGGTGGACAAGGGAAACGTAAAGCCTAGCAACGGGGTGAGTATCCGATACCAATCTTGTGAAGCCCCATTTTAGGGTGTGTAGAGTGCGACTGTCTTCTAACACTTCGCAGAGACTCATGCTATCCGCCTCCAACATCCCCGTTCCAGACCACTCGGACCACAGCTCTACAGTACTCCTGCTACCGTCGTGGCAATTCATAGACAATGTTTCGCCTGCAAATGTGCCGGAGCTCATTACGCACTTTGTCAATGGCGGCCCTACAAACAACAGTCCGTTGCGCTCGCAACCCGCCTCAACATGGCCGGAAGAAGACTCTTCCGCACCACAACCGGCGCCCAATGCGGCCGCAATACCCCCGTCACTACCCGCAACGTCACAGCTCAAGCCTCGGCCATGCCCGCACAAATACCTCATCTTGATGTGCAGTCAAAAGACGCGCGACGCACGCTGCGGGCAGTCGGCGCCTCTGCTACTCAAAGAGTTTGAGCGCCTGCTGCGGCCCATGGGGCTGTACCGCGACCTGCACGACGAGCGGCCAGGCGGCGTGGGAATATACTTCATCAGCCATGTCGGGGGCCACAAGTTCTCTGCAAACGTCATGATCTACCGACACTCGTCTGTTGCCGCGGGAGCCAAGCAGGCCAACGGACACACCAATGGCGCTGAAGCGCAGCTGACAGACTTGACACTGGAAGACAAGGAGGGCAAGCAAGTCGTGCTGGATGCGAACAAGGAGCAGGAGGCGGAAGGTAATGGCGAGGCTGCACAGTGTATCTGGCTTGCGCGGGTGCGGCCTGAGGACTGTGAGAACATCATCAAGTACACGGTGCTGCAAGGCAAGGTTGTCAAGCCCGACAGACAGCTGCGTGGTGGATTTGACAGATGCAAGCAGCTGGCTAGCTGGTAGTTTGTCTGGTGTGGGGGGCTTGGGATCTTTCAGGAGTTACTTGGTATGATAGACGACGACAACGACGCAACATACCCCGCTGCGATAGGCAGTCGTGTAATAGATTATTTAACTACCATGTTCAAGATATACGGCCCTACCCAGGCTCAAGCTGACTATGTCTCGGTAGTGTGAGACGCGTAGTGTCATTCGTACGGCTCTCGAGCTTGACTTGGGAGACGAGCATCCTGCCATGATCACATGTCATAAACCCCCCGAAGCGCCCAGTTTTGCTGTGCAGGATGGTGGACATGTTTGGCATGGTGTGTGATAGAAAAATATGTTGATTCTGCTAGCGTTGGTCTGCTCATGCATACAAGCTGCATGTTGAACTACGGGTACATGGTTGTTGTGATTTGCTTGGTAATTCGTCGTCATTTCAATTGGAGCCAGCTTCAGAAAGGGCATCGTTTGTTCTTCTCCGAGGCCACAGTGTTGGCCATCTTGGGCGCAGAATCGACTGCCGCGGTGGAATGTCTGCGAACATGCAAGTCCTGGTCGTGGCGGGATGCATGGTTCTGGGTGAAGTGAAGGCGAAGTGGTGAGGAGGGTGCGCCTAGTATGCAATCGAGGAAGATCCCGCGGCATTGGATGGGGGCGTGCGTCAAAGATAATCGTCTCATCAGCCTGCAGCCTCCTTGACCTTGCCACCCGCAACGGGTGCCTCATCGATGAACTGAGGTGGTGCGGCATCGTCGAGCATAAAGTTGGGCACGCCCGATGACTCTCCAATGCCCTCAAACTCGACCTCGTCGCCCAGAGCCTCCAGCTCGGCATCTAGCTCCGACTCATCCACGTCTTCGGGCACGTCGTAGCTGCGGCTTATAGCGTCTTGTATTTCGTTGCCCATATCCAAGAGGTCGGCCATCTCGTCCTGGATCTTGTCGATCTGGTCGATGTTGATCTTGCCGTACTGCTTCTTCAGCTCCTTGGTCGTCGTCTTCATGGCGTCGATGGTGGTCATGTTGTTCTTGAGGTTGTCCTGCATCATGCCGGCCTGCTCCATGTTCCACGACTGGGCCTGCAGCTGGTCGCGCTGGGCCTCGTACTGCTTGCGCTGCTGCAGGACCTTGAGCGCCTTTTGCTTGATGGCCGTCTTGCCCGGGCCGTCGCGCATCTTGGCGAGCTTCTGCTGGTAGGTGCCCAGCTCAGCATTGAGTTTGGCGAGCTTGACATCGAGGCTTTCTATGCGCGTGTCAATCTGGGGGCGGTTAGTGCATGACCGACAACGACACGGCTTGGGCGCATGCAGGTAGCCTACATTGGAGATGGCGCTGTTGAGGGTTGGCTTAGGCGCGTTGCTCTTGGCGCCGAACAGGCGGTTCATGGTGCACTTGTCGGGTGGGGGATGAGCTGCGGCGTATGTATGTAGGAGGCAGACGGCGACGTGGTTGGGGGGGCGGCGCTGTCAAGTGTGGGGTGAGGGCGGCCGTTCCCGCTAACGTCATGGGCCGTCACGTGCAAGGCTGCCAGGACGGGGATGCCAGGCACCGACGAGGCAGATGATGGCGCAAATTTTGAGTCGTGGTGGTGGTGGTGGCGGCGGCGGCGCATGTGAAGTATCTATCTTTGGCTATGCACCGCACACCGATGTACTGTACCAGTACGGTAGCAGTAGCAGTAGGCTCAGCATGCCAATGCAGCTGGCAGGCGTCGCCCGTTGACGGCACCGGCACAGCTTGCGTCATGGCCAGGGCCGCGTGTGCCCGGCACGCCGTCTGCCTGCTCTGCTCCCTACGCCGACGGCCCTAAGCATGAGTGCTTGTGCTTGTGCTTGTCTGTGCCTGCTATCGCTATCAAGGAGGTGCAAGTGCAAGTGCAAGTGATCTGCGGCACGCTACCAGTACGCAGCTTCTAGCCTTGTGCTTGTCACCACCAAAAACCCAACAAATACCCGTCTCTCTCTCCCACACCCGCACCCGCGCCGCTCCCCCCCCCCTCCCCCAGCACGCCCGCCCGCCCTCGCAGCACTTGTATTTGTAACGACCGCCCACGACCTGCCTGTGCATGCATTGACTGCGCGCCTTTTTCTCCCCCCCCCCAGCTCGCCTCGCTTGCCATTGCCCCCCCCGCCCGCCGTGTTCTTCGCTTGTAGGTACCTGTCCCACCTATGCACCCAGCACCCAGCCCAGCCAGCCCAAGCCACGGACACGCGCCCTCGCTGTCTCACCCAAGCAGCTCCTGCTAACCCAGACGCTCGCCTGCCGCGCAGACTCTTCCTTTGCTGCTGAGTTTCCGCTTCCCATGACGCATTGGCCGCTGCAGTAGTCCTACGCATGTCCAGCCCCACCGGCCTACAGCTGCTGCTCTCGAGTCCCTCGCCCGGCCCTTTCCCTGCCCCGCCCTTGTAGCCAGCCCGCCAGCCCGCCAGCCCCCTCGATACAACCATGTTCTGGCGCTTCGGCGGGTATGCTCAGCTCTCGTCGCTGGACAGCATCCTCGACAAGCCCGATGTCACGGTCGAAGAGCTGCTGGACGAGTCCGATCTGATACAGGAGCTCAAGCAGCAGAACTCGAAGCTTATAGAATACCTTCGCGACGAGAATGTCTTGGAGCGCCTGCTGCGCTATGTCATCGCCGCCAGGCCCAGCCCCTCCGCCGACGACGACACGGGAGGCTCGCCCGCGCACGAGGCCCGGAGTCCCAGCCGGTCTGGCTTCTTCGGCAAGGTCAGGGCTCGCTCGACGTCGACGACAAAGTCGGATGCAGGCGACACCGAGGAGAGCAAGGAGGAGCGCCAGCGCATGAAGTACGCCTACGTCTCGTGCGAAATCCTCTCGTCGGAAGTATGGTCCATCTCCGAAGCCGTGCTCGAGAACCAGGACACGCTGCGCCAGTTCTGGGCCTACATCAAGCAGCCCGCGCCCCTCGACCCCGTCCAGGCCGGCTACTTTACCAAAGTAAACGAGTCGCTCCTCGACCGCAAGATGGAAGAGATGCTCGACTTCTTCAAGTCGCTCGACAACGTGGTGCCGGATATGCTGCAGCACGTTGACTGTCCGGTCATCATGGACCTGCTGCTGAAGATCATCAGCCTGGAGAAGAGCGAGGGCGGCCAGGGTATCGTCGATGTGGGTGTTACCCGTATGTATAGCAGTACGCACAGCTGACAAGAGCACAGTGGTTACAGCAGCAGCATCTTGTCCCACGACTCATCTCCTTCCTCGGCCCAGAGCAGTCCACGTCCACCCAAACCTCGGCTGGCGACTTCCTCAAAGCCATCATCACCATATCGGCGAATGCTACAACACAGGATCAGTCGGTGATTGGGCCAAACGAACTCACGCGCCAGCTTGTTTCCGAGTCATGTCTCAAGCAGTTGATAGATTACATGCTCCACGGCGGCAATCCACTCACCGTTGGCGTGGGCATTGTTATCGAAGTCATCAGGAAGAACAACTCCGACTATGATCTCGAAAACCAAATAGGGCCTGTCCCCAAGAACTCGGATCCCATTTACCTGGGAACACTACTTCGACAGTTTGCAAACCACATTCCGCACTTCATGGAGCTGGTCAACAGCTCAAGCCAAGTCGTGACAGAAACAGACGGTACCATTACGAAGAAGAAGCGCGAGCTCAAGACAGCGTTTGGCGACAAGATCGAGCCACTCGGATTCGACCGTTTCAAGACTTGCGAGCTGATGGCTGAGCTGCTGCACTGCAGCAACATGGCGCTGCTCAACGAGCGGGGGAGCGAGGCTGAAGTCAGAAGGCGGGATGCCGAGCGAGAACGTCTCAAAGCCGACGGCAAGCTTACTTCAGCCAATCCCGCCAACCCAGGCGACTTCTCGACCAGTGTCGACAGTCAAGGCTTTCATCATGCGCGAGCCCCGTCAATGGACTCAACTGCCGAAATCAAGCCTCTGCACGTGCAAAACAGTTCCGAGGACGACTTCGAAAAGGTCATTGCCCCAGAGGTCGCACCCGAAGACCCAAAAGAGGCGGCAAACGAAAAGGAGCAGATTGGCGAACCATTGGAGCCATCGCCTAAAATGGCACCAAGGGATGCGCCAAAGGAGACTTCCGTTGGCAAGACGGTGGGCGACGACGGCGAATTCGTCGATGAGCCTCTCACACCACCCAAGGATACTGTGGCCTCTAGTGATACGGCTGCTTCTCCTGCAAAGCCCGCAGACGACGCCGAGTCACCTACATCAGCAGGACTGACGGCCAAGGTGGACGATCTTGGTTTAGACAAGGATACTGTTATGAACGATCGCCAGGAGCCAGCTCAACCTGCGAAGCCCGAAAAGACCGAGACCGATATCAAGACGCCGCCGTCTCTTCTAACACAGCAGCTCAACCAGAGTTCAGAGTCTGGCAACCTCGATCTACCAGAACCTCTGTCCCCCCACCCCGACGACAAGCCGGCACCGCTCTTCGCGGGTAAGAACCGCGATACCAGCGCCTCGCCCTCCAAAATCGACACTTCAAGATTTACAGCACCTGTCCCAGAATCAGATCTTTCAGAGATTACGCCCATTGACGAGACTCAAAGCGTGCGGTCTGTCGTGTTCGGCAGCACAGAAGAGACTGTAGGATTTGAGGTCGACATTGACGGAACACCTGTCGTTGGTGATCTATTGAAGATTACGTTTGTTGAGAATAAAGTTGTCCCAACAATACTTGTAAGCTCCTGCCCGGGTTGTGTAATTGTGTCTAATCTGTACAGGACTTTTTCTTCCGTTTCCCTTGGAACAACTTTCTGCACAATGTGGTGTATGACGTTGTTCAGCAGGTATTCAACGGTCAGATGGAGCATGGATACAACAGGCAACTAGCCATTGACCTTTTTGCCAACGGGCGTATAACTGAACGAATCATCAAAGGCCAAGAAGAAAGTGACAAGTCTCACAAAGAAACGCACATGCGATTAGGATACATGGGCCATCTGACCCTCATCGCCGAAGAGGTGCTCAAGTTCACCGAGCGCCATACCGACGAAGTCCTATCGCCCTTGGTCCTGGAAAAGGTCCACGCCGAGGACTGGGTGCATTACGTCGAACACGTCCTTGCAGAAACACGAGAGCGCGACAACGCCATCCTCGGAGGAGTACGGCCCGACATGAGCGTCGGCCCGAGACAAGCGGTGCTGAACGCCGTCAACGCAGCAAACAACTTTGGAGGCGACAGTGGGGGACTCTCCAACGCTAGCCTCGCCGGCAACGGTGCTATAGGCCTCGACAGCATGGAGCTCACCAACGCCGGTGACACTGGAGGTGGTGGGTACACCTTCAGCGGAGGCTCCTTGCTTAGTGGCTTTACTAACTCGAGTGACGAAGAAGACGAAGACATGGACGATGTCGACACCGAGAGAGAACATCGGCAAGGCCCTGTTGACGATTCCGAACAAGTGGGTGAAATCTCATTTGACGATGCTGATATGGACTATCGATAAGCACATCGCCCCGACCATACACTATACACACTACTGCCACGATCGTTTTTCGCCCTTGGTGCGTTTCCTTTTCTTAACCTTGTTTGTATCGTCAGTAGGGACAGGCAGAGGGCTCGCATACTAGACCCATGGACCGAACATCATCTCCTTTGTACATACATTCCGCCATCCGACAGGGTGTATGATACATGTAGTAATACACATCTCGCGATGTGGTTTTTCATCATCTCTTTTGTGTGACGGGTGATCTAGTATAGTCTCACTGCCGCCACCCAGTTGTTTTTCCACGACATGTGTTTCTTTCGTTTTTTCTTTCTTTCTAGACTTTTGATTTTTTTGGCGTTCCATCACCGTCTCGCTGAGCAGCTTCTCTACGGGCCTTTGATCTGCTCTACTGACGCAAGATTCTTACCAGTCAAGCATCCCACCACCTCTGCAAATAGCGCCCTCCCGTGCGCGTCGTCAATTCGCTCTCCGGCTCGCCCAGCGCAAAGCTCAACTCGAGTCAACCCGTGAAGCAGAAGATGATTTAGATGACCCTTCAATACCCAAGACTCAAGAAGAGGAAGAACGCGAAGGCCATCAGCGTTTTGCCCGCATGTTCGAAGGTATCGAAGACTCTTCTGACGACGACAGCCTGCATAGCGCCGAAGGGATAGGAGAGGGGAGTCAGGGATCGGGGAGGGACAGCCCGGAGAAATGCGCTAGTCCTGAAAAAGAGGACCTTGGTGGTGAGGGTGAGCGGAAGATTGTTGTGTAGGCGTCTGGAAGGAGTTTGTCTGTTTGTGTAGCTTGGCATGGCACTGAATTGATAGATCGAGCATATCTTGCGCGTTTGGCCGGTTACATTGTCTATTGGCATGTTGGGTTTGTTTACGGTGCTCTAGATGAATGGATGTGATGTACGTAGTAATGCATGATTATGAGATACCCATAGTTTGATCTTCTCGAGTACGCATGCGGTGGGAAGCTAGTGGGTCCTATTGCAACAGATGCAATCCTCGGACTCTGGTAATCATCGAGTGCCAGAGTATGGGCCTGTTGTTGCGTCCATGAGCATGTATCATGTGACTCGGCGATTACGCTAACGCCGTAGCGCGTTTTTCGATGCGGTCACTGATCACAGCAATCAGCCCTCTTGAACTCTGTATACAATCTGCAGCCTCACAATGTCCGCACAGCCCACTTCCAGTCGTCCTACATCTGACCGTCGCTCATTCACGGCACCAAAGCGCACATCCCTCCTCCCGAAGCCCTCTTCCATCGTACTGGACTCGTCTGTCCTCATTGCACAACACGCGCAAATCACCGGCATCCACCCAATCACGATTGGCCCGAATACGGTACTGCATCCACATAGTAAACTCAGCAGCGCACTTGCGCCGGTTGTTCTGGATGAGGGGTGTGTCATTTTCGAGCGAGCCAAAATCGGTGTAGGCACGGCAGCTGAGCTCGACGCTGAAAGCCGACGGACTAGCATAGCGCCAGCCCGCAGCAGTGCGCATATTCGGAACTCTATGAGAAGTGAAGGGACCGTGCTTGGCAGAAATGTCGTTGTCGAGTCTGGTGCAGTGGTCGAAGCGGCCGAGGTAGGGGAGGGTACTGTAATCGAGGTCGGCGCTGTGATAGGAAGGGGCAGCATTATTGGAAAGGTAGACTCCCTCAATTCCAGTCTACACTATCATGAGCTAAGATATGATAGTACTGTACCATTACAGCTTCCTCTTTTTTACCGGCAAATTCTCGTTTGCCAGATTATACCGTCGTCTTCAGTGGCTCTCAGCAACGCATCGATCGTACACTGCAACTCCGCCCGGAGATTCTGCGTGCGAAAATGACTGTGCATGCGAAACAACTGGACATGTTTAAGAGGTTGATTCCGAACAACATCGCCAAGTGGTCGTAATGCGCGTCGCTGTGATACAGGAATGATATGGTAACTTGCTGAAGGCCAACGGGCGTTTCATGATTCGAACGCGCACAGCCAATGGTATTGTAACAGTGAGTTGTCACTCATCGTTCACGTTCACCTACGAAGCGTTTGTAAACATGGCGCCACCACGTGAAAGGACCCTGCTGAACCATGGAATCGCGACACAGTCTTGGCTCTTTTACTTGGACATTGTCAAGCCCACACTTTCTTCCCACAACGCCCCCCCCCCTACAGCTACATAACGCGCTTCATCCTATTTACTGGCCTTTGTCTTCCACCACATAAACAACTCGATGCGCAAGTCCCAGCTATGCCTACCTATTCCGACAAAGCCGAATTCTTCGCCAACGGCGTCAAAGTATGTCCAATCCCGGAGGATGCCACCGAATGCCCCATCTGCCGGAACCAGTTCCGAATGGAGCCTTTTGCTTTAAAGCACATCACCTTGGCCAGAAGCATGATGTTCAGACACGGTATCACATACGTATGCGAAAACCTCCCTGCCATCTTTTCCCAGAGTCAAATGCCCATGAAGATGTCTTGCTGCCGAAACATCTTTTGCCAAAACTGCCTAGCCCTCTGGCTCGAATCGGCAAACACCTGTCCTACCTGTCGCGCACAGCTTTTCCCGAAGCCAAACACGCATGCACACGGCGACGGGGACAGCGATGGCGAAGAAGAAGAAGAAGAAGGTTCGGAACCCGCATCTGAACATGAAGAATCCGACATGGACGTGGATGTGGAAGACGAGTCGGAGGATCATGGCGATTCAGAGCCCGAAGATGCCGAAGACTCTGATGTCTCACTTTACACCAACTCTGATTCTGATTCTGATTCTGACTCTGACTTTTCGGCCGACTGATGTGCTTGCATTGGGGTGTTGGAAGGAGGGGGAAAGAAAACGGTTTCTGGGGGTTATTGTCTGGGTTTATGGTTCTATACATAGCATATTGACGCAGAGACGGAGCCAAAGCGGTAGAGTTTGGGAACACAATAATTGGGGCTTTGCAGCTTTGGTAGGGAGACGGACATTGAAGCTTCGCCACCAGGAATAACAACAACAGTAGTTATAATAATGTCATGGTAAATGGGGGAATTTTTATGGCTTAATACAAGTACAGGAATAAGGAAAAAAAATAAACATTTGGATTAGAATTATATCAAGCTTTCTTCTTGCTCTTCTTCTTCTTCCTCCATCCACTATCCCAAACTCATATTAGTTTCTTTGATATATTAGCCCTCTCTCTCTCTCTCTCCTCTCTTCAGTTTTCTCATCCTCCCTCCGCTTCTCTAAATTGCAATACATAATAATAATGATAACACACAATACTGCCTAGCTACACGTCCTACTATATGTAGGTACATTACCTGCCCAAACATACCAATAACTATGCGTGCGATGCGCGATGCGAGAAACAAACAAGATGAGAAAAAAAAAGAGATTAGAAGAAAAAAGACGAGAGAAAACAGACAGGGAAAACGACGAGATGCGAAAATACGAGAAATGACAGAAATAAGAAATAGATATTAGGAGGAAAAAAAAATAGGAGTATGGTATCATTGATTTCGTTCCTCCCCCCATCCCCCCAAAGCGCAATATTTGCTGTCAATTTCTTTTCCCCTTTTTTTCCGTTTCTATAATTTCCCTCCTTTCCTTTTCTTATTCCTATTCCTGTTCCTATCCGTATTCCTGTTCCTGTTCCTGTTCCCGTGAATCCGGCATGTACGCGTCCTGATAGAAATTTGGTGCTACTGCTGTTACTGTTGCTGATGTGTCCTTCAGACGAGTATTGTTGTTTGTTTGCCACTATGGCTTCGGTGGTGGCGATGGTGGCTGTTCAATAGCGGAACGTAATTTATGTGGGTATGTGGGATGATGTAGCCACATGTGTTTGTTGTTGCAGTTCCAGTCCCAAATTTCCATGGCGGACGCATATCTCATTGCTCGTGATTAAGCGTGTTGTTTGGCGAACCGCATACCGACAATAGAGAAACGTTGTTCCTGTAAGGACGTAGCGATAGCGTAGTCTTATTCTTCTTCCTGCTCTTCCTCCTGTTGCCTCGTAGTCTTCTTATTCTTCTTCCAAATTCCCACTTCTCTCCCCTAACACTGTGGCTACAGCTACTGCCATCGAAATGTATCACCAGGGAGCAGGAAATTGGCCTCTTCAAAAGTAATGACGCGGTCCATGTCGAGGAAATGCGAATCCATAAACGCGTCGGAGAGATTCAACAGCGATTGATCCTGGATGCTCTGCTGATGCTGGTGTTGGGCGCCCGGCGTACCGAGAGCGTTGCTGTCGTAAGACGGCGGCGCAAGGGGTGGTTGTTGGGCGGAAGACGGAGCGGTGGTTGGGGCACTGATTTGGTAGAGTGGTGGTGCGCCGGCACCGTGATTGGGGTAGCTGGGGGATGAGAGTTGTGATGAAGATTTGTATAGGTTTGAGGGTGCGGTTGACGAGCCTGCTGGTAGAGTGGAAAGGTGGCTGTGGTGGTGCATGTAGCTGGTTGGAGAAGGGATGGGTGGCGGGGGCGGTGGGATGTTTCGTGGACTGAGCGTAGGCTGAGAACTGTTGAAGCTGTTTTGGCGTGCATCCGCTTTGAGAGATGGTCGCTCTGGGACAAAGCTTCCGCTGCGTATTTGCGATGTAGGTGCATATGTGGGACTTGAGAATTGTTCAGGGTACAGCGCTAAGCCGTTGTGGTCGTAGAAATCGAACCGGAAGTTGGGGTCGTTTTGACAGGCATCGTGGAGATACTCGAGGAGGTCGGCATACAGGCCAGCTTGGTTGGTGGGCCGTGTCTCATCATCATTTCTTTTCCTCCACCGTATGGCCATGTCCCAGAGGTCGTGGACTAGGCGTTGGAACTCGGGCCGTAGCGGCCGGCGGGTGGCTTGGTGTTCGAAGAGCAGGGCTTTGGCGGCGACAAAGGCGCAAAATGAGAATTGAACATTGACAAACGGTATAGGTGTGTGGGCCAGGAACTTGTTGACAATGTTGGAGGTTTCAACGGCAGCAAGCTCGCATGTCTGGGCACTGCATTCTTTCGGGAGCGCGACAAAGTCGTTCCATCCTTTAGGTGGGTGTCCAATCGGGTGATGGAGTAGTATCATTGATGTGTTGTGAGTGATGTGTGCGAGGGTTAGGTTGGGATCCATATCCACCACTGTCCTGTCAGCAGATATGTTTGAGTCTTTCCACTTGGGTGGTAGGAACATTTTCCATTGGACAAGCCGTAGGTCCAGTTCTTTAAACCGGGTCAGCCAGCTAACTGCGTGTTCTTTATCCTGCCAGTTGATGCGTTGCTGGAGGAAGAAGGTCGTCACCTGACTTAGGCTCTCGGTTGCTTCGACGCAATAGGCGAAAGCGCCAAGCTTGGATGAATCAATGTAGCCATTGGCAGAGTTTGGACTGGCACCTGGAGGTAAGTCGGCCACGGGGTCATCCTCATTATATTGAGCGGGAACGTTTGCCAGTGAGCGCCCAATACGAGCGGCTGCTTTGTTCCAGATACCTGTATGGTCAGTCAATACAATATCCATAAGCTTCGGGTAGGCATCTCCAAGCAATAATCAAGCCTACATACCAAAGTAGGGTGTGGTGACAGGCTCTTCACGGGTAAAATAGCCTCCGTCTGCCGGGAGACGGCAGTGGACATCCTCTGCAGTCAAGCTTGTGTTCCAACCAGTCGACGCTGAACAAAAGCGATCAAGCAGAAAGATGACCCAGAACAGCCTTCGGCGCTCTTCCAGCTCCGTCCAGTCAGCCGTAGGCTTCACTAGGCGCACAGGGGCCATGAGTGATCCGAACTGCCAAGGGGACGGCTCGGTAGTAAGCTGAAGGTAGTCAATGGTTCTCGTGAGCGAACCAATCAGCGGCCAAGCTCTCTGCGTGTGGCCGTCGTTCAAGAGATCAAAGACGAGAAAAATGAGCGCCTGCAGACTCTCCATGGTGACGTTTCGCAGGGCGTGTGTCTCGACAATCATGCGCGAGACGCGGATCTGCTGGCGAATCTGGTCGTCGTCGAGGAAGAGCACGCTGGGCTCCATATGGCGCAACGCCACGGCGATCAGAGCATGGAGAACGAGGACCAGTCCGGGCTCTTGCGAGCCTTGCTGCACCCGCGTCTGGATGCGCTTCTTGTGGATGTAGGGAATCCAGTGGTGAAAGGAGATGCAGAAGAAGTCGACGAGCTTCTCCAGCAGCGGCTGCGAGGGCAGGTGGTGGGCGATGTCGACGTCGTCAAAGGGGAAAATCCAGCTGTCGGGCATGGGCGTGCCGTGCCGCCGCTTGAGGGGATTGGGGGTCACGCTGCTCTCGGCGCGTATGGTAGTCGTGGTGGTGGAGGCGGTGGCGCTCTCTCTCGCCATGTCGACATAGTGGTGTTCAAGAGCAGCATGGACGGGCGGCTGCGGGTGTGGCTGGGGCTGGTGCTGCGGCTGGTGCTGGGGCTGGTGGTGTTCAGTGGGATGAGATGCAGCAGCCATGGCAGTGGTGGTGGTCGTCGTGGGCTCGTCAGCGGCATAGCGCGCACGGATCTGGCCGTTTTCGTCGAGGAGGATCTTCTCCAGGAAAGCTAGGCGTTGTGAGAAGAGACGAGCAGCTCGCAGGAAGCAACAGCAGCAGCCTACCAACACGGCGAGTCAAGGCCTCGACAGCGCCGGGCTTAAGGCCCGGCTTGTTCTTGGGCTGGTAGACACAGTCGGACGCTACGCGGGTCGGTCAGCAGCGACCATGGCGGCATGTGGGCGCAGAGACGGAGGCGGAGGCGGAGACATACAGAGCCTCAGACAGTGAGTACACGAGGGAAGCTCGCGCGAGCAGCGCAGCTTGCGTTGCTTGCAGCTAACGCAGGCCGGGATATCACCACCAACGGAGACGGGCCCGTCGTCGTCGCCCCCCGCTTGGCTCCCCGAGCCGGTCGAGTAATTGGTCCAGCTAGCCGCCATCAGCGCGACCTCCTCCGGCGGCGACAGAGGCGTTGTCGCAAAACGAAGGAATATTCGGTGGACGAGCAGCACACGGCGAGCCCGGGCATCGGGATAAATCAGGCCATGCCCACCACCACCACCACCACATCCGAGGCCCCGCCCGCCTAGCCCTCATCTCCGCCGCCCAACCTCCGCCCGGCCACCACGCCCCCGACACGCCCGTCATCTGCAGCCTGCCTCTATATACGCCTGCCGCGGGCCTGCCATGGGCCTGCCCAGCACCTGAGCCGTCGTGGCCGCCATGCGGGCGACCGCCCACGTACAGCCCACACGCAGCCGTTGCGCGACAGCCACACCCGACATGTGCCCAAATATATATCTGACATGCTGCCCACCCCGCAGCAGCATCGTCAGCCCCGCCATCCCCAGAGCGAGACGACATGCCCCCGCTGGCAGGCTTCTCCGACAACCCCTTTGCCACCCGTGCCGACTGTGACGCCGCCGCCAGAGCCATACTCGATGCACTGACTCCATACCAATCTCCCGCCGGCGCCCGCATCAGGCTCCCACTGACCACCGGAACGCACTTTGATGATGTCGCCGCCCAGCTCGAGGGATATGCCCGTCCGCTCTGGGTCGTGGGCGCGCTGCTGCACTCGCACGCCCTCAGTGCAGCCGACAAGACGCGGCTCGTAGATCCATATGCCAGAGGCCTGGCCAGCGGTACCAACCCAGACCACCCGGAGTACTGGGGCCCCGTCGTGCTGCGCGACCAGCGCATGGTCGAAATGGAAATCATATCCTTTGCGCTGCTCGCCGCCCCAGACACCATGTTCGCCTCGCAGACCGACGAGGCCAGGAACAACATCACGGCGTGGCTCATGACGCTCAACGGCAAGGACTTTCCAACCACCAACTGGCTCTGGTTCCGCGTCATGACGAACCTCGCGCTGATCAAAGTATGCGGCGTGCCCCAGGCCGAGGTGCTCGACGCCATGAAAGCCGATCTGGATCTCATGGAGCAGTTCTACCTGGGCGAAGGCTGGGCTGCCGACGGCATATGGAGCGACGAGGGGAGGCAGGCCGACTACTACTCTGGCAGCTTCGCGATACAGTTTTCGCAGCTAATCTATGCAAAGATGGCACGGGACCTGGATCCAGAGCGGTGCGAGCGGTTCCAGGGTCGAGCACGCGATTTTGCAATGAGCTTTTGGCGCTACTTTGATTCAAACGGTAAGCATGGAGGGCATGCAAAGTACATGGGAGCGTCGTTGGAGTATAGCTGGGCCATCCATGTCCAACACACGACAACTGACTAGGGTCCAGGTGCCGCGATCCCCTTTGGCCGCAGTCTGACGTACCGGTTTGCCTTTGCGGGATTCTGGTCTGCCGTCGTCTTCGCAGATGTGTCGTTGCCTGCGCCCTTGGACGACTGGGGCGTCATCAAAGGCCTCTTGCTGCGCCATTTCCGCTGGTGGAGCACAAAACACGACATGTTCAATGTCGATGGCACCCTGACCATTGGGTTTGCGTATCCCAACATGTTCCTCAGCGAAGACTACAACAGCCCGCAGTCTCCGTACTGGGCCACCAAAGCCCTGCTTGCGCTCGCCATGCCCGAATCCCATCCCTTCTGGCTGGCCGAGGAAAAACCCCTACCACATACCGGCAATGCAGTCGTGCCCGTCCGGCCGCCCATGCACATTCTGTGCCAGCAGCGCAACCACCACTTCCTGCTGTCCACCGGCCAGTTCTGCCCGTGGCCGCTCAAAGCCACAGAAGCCAAGTACGGCAAATACGCCTACTCGTCGCACTTTGGCTTCAGCGTGCCCACAGGCCCCTTGATCCAGCAAATGGCCCCCGACAGCACGCTCGCCCTGAGCAAAGACGGCGGCGATACTTGGCGCGTGCCGTGGAAAGTCTCGGCACCCGCGTTTCACAACAACAATGATAACGATATCCTTGCCATAAAGCTTGTGCGGGACGGCCAGATAGCCGAAAGTATATCGGCCATGTCGAGCTCCTGGAAGCCGTGGGCTGACGCTGACGTTGTCGTGCGCACGCTGCTTATTGCGCCGTGCTCGCGCTGGCCCGACTGGTATATCCGATGGCACACTATTTGGAATCCCGCGCCGCACACCGTCAAGCTGCACGCTGTCCAGGGCGGTTTTGCAATCCAGGGCCGTGGCCACAGCCGAGGTGAAGTCCTACCTGCTTTTAGTCATGTATCCCAGCTCAAGGCTGCGGCGCACAACAAGCCGCATCCCGAAGGTACTGTTGTTGTACATGAAGACGCGGCGGCGTCGACGCTCATTTGCTCGGATGCCGGTGCAAGCGGTATACGGGCTTTGCATCTCCGGCGTGGGGAAAATGGACAGCGTCCTGTTGAAGAACGTGCCGAGGTCCTCAAGCCAGATGCTAATACCAATTTGATATGGCAACGCACCCTCATACCCACGCTGCATGCACAAGCCACAGCTGATGCAGAACCTGTGCAGTTTGGCAGCGCAGTGTTTGCACTAGCACGGACAGACGACAGAGCAGATGCATATGCAGCGCTGGATACAGAGAGCCTGTGGATGGATATGCCCGTTATCGCGACAGCCAAAGAAGAGCCAGGCACAAAGGGGTGGTATATCAGCATCCCAGATGCTAACAGCTGGAGACCTTGACTAGAATATGCAATGTAAAAAATAACTTTTATAAACAATATTCACTACATACCATAGCCAGACAAAGCCAATTTCAATATATATATATATATATATATGTGTTGGTATTCCAGACTAGACAGATTCAAAAACAAAGCCCATAGTCTTGCACATACAAAACCAACCCAGCAAGCTTCGACCATGGCGAACATATTTTCGACTTTGATACATCTTGCCCCGTCTCATTGTATGAATAGAGCCAACCTCGCCATCTGTGCGCGCTGACAAACGAGTATTGCACTAAAGCCAGTCATCATCTCAACCCTACAAGCAGCCATGCGCACGTGTCATTTTCTTCTTTCGGAAACAAGCAAAATCCCCAGCTCCCAGCCGCGGCGGCTGCTGCTGAGGTCCAAGACACCAAGAAACGCCAATTACATTGAATAAGGGGAATCGAAGCGGGGGGTTCAAAAAGGGCAAAGTTGCCATTGGTGTAGCGCTTGGCCGCTTTACCTCTTCCTGACGCAGAAGAAGAGACCAGTGCGACCAAGGAACCACAGACATCCTAGGAAACGAATAATGGCAAGAATTGCAGTAGACCACAGGAGAGCCTGGAAGAAGTGCGCCGTTCGGGTCGAGGCGGTGGACTACGACGGGGTTAGCAGAGCCTCGGGAAAACCATACGGGTGCAACTTACAGAGAAACCGAAGCGGTCAAAGTTGTCTTGGGTAATGACAACAGCAAGAGTAGCATTGGAACCAATCCAGGCCGTGCAGAGATGGGTACGGAAAGACTTGTACGAGTCCTCGAGAGTCTTCTCGTCCTTCTCCTCTGGAGGAACGTAGGGCGCAAGAGCACGCTTGACAGTCGCCTCAAACTGGCTGTCGATATCAGCCTGGGGCAGATCCGGCTCCTCAATGACGTTGTGTTTTCCGTCCGAACCCTTTTCAGTCTTGGCTGAAGGAAGCATGTCGGCCTTGTCGGAACCCTTGGTACCCCAGGACACATCGTGCCAGTTGGAGAAAGCGTAGACGTTGAGAATGTTGATGTAGGAAGACATGATGAGCAGGTATTGCGGGAACGAGGTGAACATGTGCCACGGGTCCATGTAGAGGAAGGAGGCGACGTAGTAGAGACCAAAAGTCGAAGCAAGAGCGATGATGATGATACCCACACCGTCTGACGAGAAGAAGGATTCGGCAAAGGCACTCGCTGACGACGTGTCGAGTTTGGCACTCTTGGGGTTCGAAAAGGCCTGGACGACAAGGTAGATGGACAGGACGACAATGTACAGCTGGATGATACCGAACACGCAGAACGAGAGCAGGTACGAGTACTTGGAACCCTTGGGACGGTTACCAAAGGCCAGAATGAACTGCAGGACCAGGAAGGCGAGGTAGATGTACGTGACAATGGTGTTGAAGATGGGGGTAACGCGGTTGCCGAATGGCCAGGCGTCTCTGGAATCCGTCTTGGTACCGACAAGACTCATGATGATAACCGTCGTAAGCCAGAAGGAAGCCAGGGAAAACCATGTGAGGATAGTCTGGAACATGTTGTAGAAGAGCTGAATGTGGAAAAAGAACATGCGGACAAAGTTGTGGCCACTCTTGTACATGCGGCCGAAATGGAGCAGCGAATAGATACCGGCAGCAAAGGAACCGTTGAGCCAACGACGACGCTGACCGATCAGCTCAGCGGCACCTTCGGGCACGTCAGTCTCTCCCTTGGAGGCCTTGATGTAGGTAAGATGCCACTTGGATCCGGCCTTGGCGACAAGCTCGAAACACAGAATACGATCTTCGGCCAAGAACATGTTCTTCTTGAAAATGTTCATGCCCTCGATACCCTTCTTTCCGAGAATCTTGGCGAGTGTGTGGTCACCGTGGAAGTACTGTTCGAGCGGTCGGCCCATGATGGCGCGGTATCGGTAAGCAGAGAAGGCACCAGGCAACACGGACACGTAGCCAAACGACGACTCGAGCGGCTTGTCGAGAATGTTACTGATCTTGTACTCGAAGTTTTGCGCCGCCACAAGCGGGTTGAGCAGGTTCTTCCAGCCCTTACCTGGGGAGTGGGTTAGCAAACACGTCTCGTCAGCGTAGCTGGCTGGTTACTTACCCAACATGGCGTGGATTTCACCACAAGCACCACCAAGATCCTTGTCGTTGTAGAAACCTTCCCAGAGAGCGAGCAGGGACTTGGGGCCGGGCTTGGTACCGGCGTCGAGCAGGATGCAGACCTCGGGGTTGAGAATGCGGCCAATGGCGGTGAAGAGCCATCTGTGCGAGTTGATCTTCTTGGTGTTCTTTTGCTTCAGGCAGAAGATCATCTGCACGGGGGGTAGGGTGCTGGCACTGTCATCGTGCGGGCGGATGAGCTGCTGGTTGGGAGTGACGGAAAGCTGTGTAGTGTACTCGAAAATGTGAGCAACCGTCTCGTTTCCGTCAATGTCCTTCTTCATGACACCGTCCTGGTAGACACCGACGGTCGCGAGCAGATCGAGCGTGCCCTTGTCGCAGGGGTCGATACCGTCGAAAACCAGACACACGACAATCTTTTGCCAAGCTGGACCGCCCTTGTTCCAGAACTCGGACTTTTTGAGGTTGACAATGTCGCGGATGTTCTGCATGACACCGTGCAGGGTGCGGGCAGTAAGCACCTTGTCTTCGTTGTAGTAGGTGATGGCAATGAGCAGCTCCGTGTGGCGGTTGTACATGGCCGGACGCAGATTGTAACCGTTCTTGAGCGTAAAGTCGTTGGGGTCACATGTCGCGGCCGTGTCTGGCACCTGTCAGAATCGGGACGGGCGGGGCATGTCACAAGACTAGGTGCACACTTACATCGCATGTGGGTGAACTCCTCGCTGCCGCTCTCGAGGTCGTTGCGGTACTTTGCCTGGATGGCGTTTTGGATGGCCGAAGGCACGGGGTAGTCGGCGCTGAGAACGGAGCCCTGGACAAGCTTGACCTTACGGGTCATACCACGCTTGAGGCCGCCGGCGACACCGCCGGGCTGCTGGCGCTGCCTCCAGGCCTCGGTGGAGCTGGTCTCGCTCCTCTGGTATGGCGAGGGCGCACGCTGGGCGGCGCCAAAGTCGCTGGCCGGGTCGTAGCCGCCCGAGACGGAGTAGCTGGTGCCATCTGTCGGGTGGGCGGGGTATTGGGTTGGCCGGTCGTTGGCATACGACTCGGTCAAGCTGTAGGTCGAGTGTGGGCGGACGTCAGGGTTGCCGCCGCCGTAAAAAGGGTCGGCATTGGCACCGGTGGGGTTCTCGTGCTGCAAGAGGGAGCGGCCAACCTCATCCTCGTTCTCGTTGCGGTCGTACTGCTCAGGTCGTCAGTATACAGTAGGGTCCGGTGACGGTGGTCAGGGGGCCGCCTACGCCGGTATTGGGGTCACCCAGGTGGTAACCTTGGTTGTTGTACGCCATGAGGGACTGCAGGCCGCGGGCAGGGGCTGCAGATGGCTCTGGGAGATGGAATAAGGGGGGGTGGGGATGCAAGGAGAAGGAATAGAGGGAAAAAAGAGCAGTGAGCGCACGACTGGCGGTGTCGCTTGATAAAGGCAGACAGGAATGTCTGGGGCGCTGGAGGGCTGAGAAAGGCGCTGAAGGGAGGCGCTAAGCCTGTTTGGGGCGGGAGATGGGGGGGGGGAGTCTGCGCTAGGAAAACGGCCGCGCTGAAACACGCGTAGACCACGGCGACAGGGCGAGGCAGGAATAATTGGATGGCCTGTAGTTTCGGGGGCAGGGAGGGGGGATGGAGGTGGAATGCCCTAGCCGGGGAGGGTGAGGGTGGTGTCTGGGGAGAGAGGGCGAGCGAGTGTGTGTGTGTCCGTGGCGGGCGGGCGCGGCGGGCTACTTGAGGGCGCGGGCGTTGAGGCGCCTGGCAGTGGTGGTGTAGGTAGTGCTTGTAGTGGTGGTGGTGGTGCAAACCTGCTGACGGGCGGCCGATTGTGTCTAGTCGTCGCTGTCTCGCGTCTACACCTAGTTTGTCGGCGGTGTGGCGCGTGCCGGCCATGGGGCCCTGCTAAAATTAGAGTCGCCGGCCTTAATCAGCTCCACGCTTACCTGCTCAGCCTCACGCAGAAAATACACTGCCATCTGCACCCTAGGCCCAGAGAGGCATGCATGCCAGATGCATCTTACCTATCGCCGCCCTGTCTACTTGTACGGCGATAGACTTTCCACCTGCTGCGCTGCGCTGCACTGCGCCCGTCGGCCTGCCCCGGGGGAGGCTCTGCCGCTTGACTTGCTGTGCGTCTCGTCTTTGCAGCCAGGGGTTGCACGGTACGTCAGCCAGCTTCCCAGCCTGAGCCTGCGCTCTGCACGCCGCCGGCCCACACAGGAGATCGTCGCCTGTGCTTGCACTTGTTTTCAGCATATTGCTGGTGCTGGCGGCTGCTGCATGCGCTGGTACAAGCCACGCACTGCACCCCAAACTGCTCTGTCAAGCAAAAAAAATTCGATCGCGGGTGCATATAGAGGCATGGACTGAATCGCCAATGCCCCGCCCGCCGTGCATCCGGCTGCCAGCTCCCACGCCTCGTCTTCTTTTGTCGTCGTCGTGCAGCGATTAATAAATCGCCCATCAGGGGGGCCAGCCGACGGCGACGCTGGTGCTGGTGCTGGAGCAGGGTCCATGCCGTTGGAAGGTGTCGTGCCCGCTAATGCTACCGACGCCTACCACGGTACGGCGGCGGCGGCGGGTCACATCGACGGCCACTGGCTCCCTTACCCTGTACGTGCAACACCTGCTATCCCAACCTTCCGAAATTCTCCCTTTGCCTTGTCGCCGACCTGCTACCATGTTGCCGCGGTATTTGAAGCGCACTTTGCACCCTGCACATGCGCCGCCTCTGCCTGACGCCCTGGTGCCGAGAATCGCGTGCCAGCGCGCCCTCGCCCTCGCCCTCGCCCTCGTCATGCGCCGAAAAAGCGCCTGCACATGCGGCTTTGCCTTTTCCCGTCGATGACATCAGACGAAACGCCAGCCGTTCCTTCCCTCGCGCCCCGGGCCTCGAGTGCGCGCCTCGCCGCGCGGGCAGGAACTCTCCTCGCGCCTGCCGTCATGATACAGCCTCTCAACAGATGCACGCACGTGACCCCCGCCTGTCCACTCGCGACATGGCCCTCACACTCACGGCGCTCGCCCTGAATGCCTTGAACTCGCACGCAGCACGCGTGAACCACCCACTCCCGCATGTGGCTTGCGTCATCTCTACTACACCTGCCCCGCCTGCTTTACATGTACTGTGCACCCGTCACACCATCTGCTTCTGCGACAGCGGCCACCTGTCAAGCTGACCCTCCACCCCGACAGCCCTATACACCGAGTTTTAGCCCTACCCCACATCCACCTAGTCGGCACGAGCCGTCATGGCGCACCTCCCCAAGTCAAGGTCTAGGTTCAAGTCAAGGGCCTCAGCATCTGCGACCTCTGCTGCCGACACAAACAAGACGCCCGCGCCGCTCCCGTCCGCTGAGCCTATCCCCGCCGCTCCTCACCAAAATCAATTTGTCCATCCCGCCCATGCAATCCCGCCACCAAGCTATCCCACTGCGGAAACCCTCATTGTTGTTTGCTGTCACGCCATCTTTCTACCCAACGCGGATGCTCCCGACCTGCCACTGCGCAGCCCGTATCAAGAAGCCAATTGGCTCCTCGCCCCTTTCCAAAAGTCAGACGCCGCCGCCGGTAAGCCAGGCGAACACGAAACGTTTGTATCCCACATCAAAGCAGGCATCGATGCCTTGGCCATGGGAGTAGACGCCGCCCATGCCCCCTCCAGCATACTCGTCTTCAGCGGTGGCGCGACGAAGCGTGCACAGTCGCTCAAAACCGAGGCGCGATCCTACTATCATGCAGCATTGGCAGCTGAGCTGGCTGAAGGGCACATGGGCGGCGGTCGTGCTTACAGGTACGTGGGCTCGCTGGTGCCCTTGTTTGCGCACAAGCCATGCTTACCACTGCCAACAGGTTCTATAACAGCCGTCATATACTGCTAGAAGAGCAGGCTACTGACTCGTTTCAAAACCTGCTGTTCAGTATCCTACTATTCAGAAAAGCCACAGGTAAATACCCCAAGAACATTCGTGTCATCACCCATGCCTTCAAAGCAAAGCGCTTCCTCGACCTGCATGCGCCAGCAATCCGATGGCCACAACACCGCATCCAGGTCCAAGGCATCGACCCAGTAATGACAAAAGATGCCCTGAAGAGCACGCTCGAGGGAGAAGAAAAGTCTGGCTACGCAGCGTGGGAAGAGGACCCTATGGGGACCGGCCATCTTCTCGGTGGTAAGAGGCAATTGCGTGGATGGGACCACAGCACGGGAGCCATGCACTTTAAGGATCTGGAAGACAGTGTCAAAGACTTGTTTCGCGGATCAGTCTCCAATGAGCTACCTTGGATTGAGTAGACCGGACGTCTCGGCATGGTTTGTATGCTACGACTCCCAATCGACTAGTGCATGTCTCTTCACCGGAGCGCCTGATTTGGTCGCCCACACAGTACCACATCCTCGCCTAGTGGTACCCATCTGACATCCCTCAATCTAGTAACAGGTAGCCTTTCGGGCCCTCCGTCAGGACAAACTTGCACGCCGCCCTTTCCGAGCCAAACCGGGGCTATTGTGACAATGACTGAATCAACGAGCGAGTATGCAGGGCCAGGGCCAAGCAGGTCGTTGATGACAAAACCGCCGCCCTCGATCATGACGCTTTGAATGTCATGTTCTTTGAGCGCATCGAGGATCCTGTGCCATAGGGAACTCGTCTCGGTTGTGTGCTTGGGTGCTGGGTCCAAGACGAGGAATTTCCCGCCAACGTTCTCTAATATAGCTCTGCGATCGTCCGACGGTTCCACGTGGGTGACGATAAACGGCGCCTTACCCTTGCTCTCCCCAGCAAGCTTAAGCACTTTGCTTTCTTCACTAAACTGCCAGCGGCCCTGCGGATCGACGACAATCGGCCTAGGCTGCCCGGCCAGACCTTCACCACCGTAGCCGCCCACACCCTCTATGCGGCAGTTCAAGGAGGGGTTATCGGCAACGGCTGTGCCCACCCCAATCAAGATGGCATCGTGCTTGGAGCGCAAAAAATGGGTCATTGATTTTGACTGCGGTCCAGAAAGCGCCGTCTGCACCCCCGGCGCGATGGAGAGCTGACTATCGAGTGAGGTGGCAAAGGTCAATGTGACAAAGGGTTTATCCGCGCCGCTGTTCTTTGAGACGTGAGAATGAGGCGGTATATAGTCTTCAAAGTGCTTGCTATCCGCATCCGGGAAATTCAGGGCTTCTCGTATCTTTGTCATGGTGATGTGGCTGCGTCGATGGTGTAATGGTAGGAATCTGATTCCTGATATGCTGCAGACGTGCCCAACTCTTGCCGCAAATGTTTGGGTGGCTGTGTATATGTAAAATTCAGTAATGGATTCCTTTGAGTTCTGGAATTGTAGTCTGGTCGAAATCTGGGGTTGCGGCGGCCTGCGCTGGCGCATGTAGAGGTGAGCTGCTGACTCAGAGTAAAGTGGCGCGAAGTACCGCGGCGATGAACCCCACGTAGGAGCACGGCCGCCCGACGACGATCGTGGCAGCCTGTCCGCTTATTCTTCTTCACTCTCCCGTATACTTGGGTAGACGTATTTCCTTTGGCGTTTGTGCTGCCGTAGCCCTCCGCTCCTTTTCCTTGATCTGATATCTGTAGCGCCTGTTCGGGCACATCGGCCCAGCATCCCGCCGCCTGTACCACGCCGGCTCACCCACTTTCACACGCGCCCGTGCCAGAGGCCTTAGCCAGGAACCCATACAATACCGCCAAGATGATGAAAATATGGTCCATGGTACGTCGGCCTGTCTATCCGCCTCGCGCATGGCGCCGGCGAGTGTCATCGGATACTGACACGCTCGCCACAGAAGAAGCAGCAGCAGCAAGATGAGGCTGCTGCCGCCGCATCGAGCAAGAAGAAGAAGGTGACGCCAGCCCAGCTGCGCACACAAAAGGGTACACGATGCCCCGGCCCGCCAGACGGTTACGCGCGCAGGCTAACGCGACCAAAGACCTCGAAGAGCTATCCCTCGGCACGACGATGAAGACGCACTTCCCGAACCCAGACGACATCCTCAACTTTGAACTCACAATCGACCCTGACGAGGGCATGTACAAGGGCGGCCGCTTCAGGTTCGACTTCAAGATCAACCAGAACTTTCCCCACGACCCGCCCAAGGTCAAGTGCACACAGAAGATTTACCACCCCAACATTGATCTCGAGGGCAACGTATGCCTGAACATCCTGCGAGAGGACTGGAAGCCTGTGTTGAACCTCAACGCGGTCGTTGTCGGACTACAGGTATGTCGCGCATAACATGGATACAGGACGACATGGCTAAAGAGTTGTAGTTTCTCTTCCTCGAGCCAAACGCCTCCGACCCGTTGAACAAGGAGGCTGCGGAAGACCTCAAGGCGAACCGAGAAGGCTTCAAGCGCAATGTGCGTGCGTCACTGGGCGGCGGCTCGGTCAAGGGGCAGACGTTTGATCGCGTTCTTAAATGAGCAACATGGCATAGATACGGGGCTATCCAACACACCGCTGGGCAAGCGTCCGGTGCTCTGCACGGACATCTGCAATCACGACATGGCACAACATTGAGGGCTTAGGGCAAGGCGATAGGCGAGAGTGACGAGGAAGAAGAAGGCTATGGATATGGGCTCGTTCGGATTTGGGCGGCAGCATGTGAGATTGTCATGCACAGGGAGCGCGGCGTAGCATTTGGGCGCATGTAGTTCTTCAAGGCTTGATATTAATCCCACTGAGTATCTGTGTACAAACATGACGGCCCAGGCACGTTGCGTGAAATTTCGTGTGTTGAAAGAATGTGTTGCGTCATGGCCAAGTTTCGTGCTGAGTTTATTCTATGTAGGTGTACCATGGTGGAGATTGACAACCGGTCAGCGGCATATACCGCAAACTTTAAAAAACATCGCATGCCTATCAAGCGGAAAGTGTCAGACAGTATGCTGTGAAATCCACACTGAGCACCGGTTATCTCGTCGACCCGCTCAATGGCTGCGCGATATCTGTATGACTGTGTTGTGCATTGCTACAGTCATGTGAAGGACGCAAAGGCTCTCGGAGACACGCATTCCTCCCCGATGACACCCCAACTTCCCCCTGCTAGCAGCCCCGCAGTGTCCGTATGCCGCCGTATGATTGGCTGGTCACGCGAACGGCCTGACTGCAGCGGTCTGGGGCAGCGATAATCGGCGTGGTCTAAGCTTCTGCATTCGAAATTCTAGCTGTGGTCGAGTCGAGCCACAGTGTTTAAAAGCCATCCATCCCCGCCATACACTTGCTGAACCCCAAGATACCCTCACACACACATCCACAATGGCCTCAAGACCTGTTACCCGCGCTCTCCGCCAATCCGCCCGCCAATTGGCTACTCCCGCCCAGAAGCGGACTTTTGTCTCTGCTCTGAGTGCTGGTGCTAAGAAGGCTGCCCCCCGCGCCGCCGTTACCAGCCAGTTCCAGCAAACCCGTGGTGTCAAGACCATTGACTTTGCCGGCACCAAGGAGACTGTCTACGGTAGGTTGAGCTCACATCGACTGCGACTGGAGGCAGAATACAATCGGACAATCGCTGACGCCAGCAAACAGAGCGTGCTGACTGGCCAAAGGAGAAGCTTCTTGTAAGTTTCCTGCGTCAATGACGTCCACCCACATCTCTACGAGCTTCAGCTAACATTCAATAGGAGTACTTCAAGAACGACACTCTTGCCCTGATCGGCTATGGCTCCCAGGGCCACGGCCAGGGTCTCAACATGCGTGACAACGGCCTGAACGTCATCGTCGGTGTGCGGAAGAACGGTACCTCATGGAAGGAGGCCGAGCAGGACGGCTGGGTCCCCGGCAAGAACCTGTTCGACATTGACGAGGCCATTGGCAAGGCCACCATTGTCATGAACCTCCTCTCGGATGCCGCCCAGTCCGAGACCTGGCCCAAGATCAAGCCCCAGCTGACCAAGGACAAGGTAAGCCACAGTCCTCTGCACCAAGTGGGCACCTGTCTAACATATCCAGACCCTCTACTTCTCCCACGGTTTCTCCCCCGTCTTCAAGGACCTCACCAAGGTCGAGGTCCCCAAGGACATTGACGTTATCCTCGTTGCCCCCAAGGGCTCTGGACGCACTGTCCGCACCCTTTTCCGTGAGGGCCGTGGTATCAACTCGTCCATTGCCGTCTACCAAGACGTCACCGGCAAGGCCAAGGAGAAGGCCGTCGCCCTTGGTGTTGCCGTCGGTTCCGGATACATGTACGAGACTACGTTCGAGAAGGAGGTCTACTCTGACCTGTACGGCGAGCGTGGCTGCCTGATGGGCGGAATCCACGGCATGTTCCTCGCTCAGTACGAGGTTCTCCGTGAGCGCGGCCACAGCCCCTCTGAGGCTTTCAACGAGACCGTCGAGGAGGCTACCCAGTCCCTGTACCCCTTGATCGGCGCCCACGGCATGGACTACATGTACGCTGCTTGCTCCACCACTGCTCGCCGTGGTGCTATTGACTGGAGCAAGCGCTTCAAGGATGCCCTCAAGCCCGTCTTCGACGACCTTTACACTTCGGTCCAAAACGGTACCGAGACCAAGCGCTCGCTCGAGTACAACTCGCAACCCGACTACCGTGAGAAGTACAACGCGGAGCTCAAGGAGATTGACGACCTTGAGATCTGGCGCGCCGGAAAGGCTGTCCGCTCTCTCCGCCCCGAGAACGCCAAGTAAAAAAAAAAGATAGTTTTCTAATGGAGTTGCTGGGTTAGCAGGTTGAAGGAAAAAGGGCAATGTGTAGATATGTCTTGTTACGATTACGGAAAACTTTGGCGTCGGTGCACGTCTTTTGCTATATGGAACGCAGAAGCTTTTCATCAAGAAAGGAAAAGAAGCTCAGACTAAGATAGGAGCGAATATGATACCTTTCGGAGCTGAAATGACGTGGACCTATTCGCCGTTTGATGATCCTTTTGTGATTACTGCTAAGTGGTGGGAAATTACAGTGCGAAAGGATGGTGTATGGGAAAGACTGCCGAAGGGTATCGGGTACAATTGCTGTGTGTAACGTCGCAGGACGTGAAGCCACGCCCCCCCCCCCGTATTCCTTAGACGAGCACACCACAGACGGCGTATGTCCGGCTAGCGAATCAGACGTAGGCGAGCGAGCCATGTTTCCCCACACATTCCTGTTTCCCTTTACCTTTAGGACACGGACCGCACCGTATCTGGTCTAGCCGTTACCCCAGAACAACGGGCGTCGGGTCATCTGTCGCCAGCCTGATGATATGCACACACGACCTGTTTCTCCCCCCCCCTCCCATGGCAGATGAAGCGTTGAAATGGTAGGGTTTTTTTTGCACAGTCAAGTCTTTGCAAGGAGTGAAAAGGAAAATCAGGCAGCTTCACTACATATGCAAGCGGTGGCCGGACTGCATCTTTCATGCAATTCAATATCTAGCTGCCGTGCATACAACTCCCAACAAGATGGATAGACGCCTTTCTTCTTCGTCTTCTTCTTCGTCTTCTGCTTCTGCTTCGCTGCTTGTTCAAGGGCGCGCATATACATACATACATACATACATACATACATACAACACGGATCTGCATGCAGTCATCCATACAGTCTCCACCCCCCCCCCCCATACCCCCATACCCATACCTGCCGTCCTGCCGTATGCCGCAGGACCATACAAGGCCTGACCTGCAAACCCCGCAAAGCCAAGTCCAGATAAACAACCGACACGAGCTTCTTGCCTAATCTTTGTTTCCTTTGGTTTTTTTTCCTGCTGTGGCTTTTTTTTGTCCCTTCGCTTGTGTGCCGGCGTATGTATGTATGTATGTATGTATGTATGTATGTATGTATGTATGTATGGCGATGGCGGGGTTGGTGGAGGTTGTAAGTAGTGTGTTGCTGGTGCTTGAACTCCGGTCCTCGGGGTCTCCGGTCCTTGGGTTCTCATGTGTGTGTGTGTGTGTGCGTCGTTTGTATATACTTACCGGTCGACGAGCCGGGTGAACGGGCGGAATCGTCATGTGTGGTGCGCCCTTGGACCTTGGCGTGGCATTGGCGTTGGTGGTTGTTTTTTTGCTTGCTTGCTTGCTTGCTGACACGGCAGAGAGCTTGACCATGTGGGATGTGGGATGCTGGCCATAGTGTTTTACGTCGCGGGGGCCTTGCATGGACGGGTGGGAAAAGCAGAGATTGACACACCCAGATACCAGAGAGAGAAGGTTTGGTGCGAGATCCGATGCTCTCGGGTTTATTTAGCATCGATTGTTTCCCTTCCTTGAACTTTTTTTTTGTTTCGAGTCACTCCTCCCCCGATTCCCTTCTTCTTTTGATTACCAATTGTTCTCAGGCAACCTAGAGACTTGTTTTGTTGTAAAGGAGACTTTTTTTGAGATCCTGGTTCATCATGGCTCCAGCTGTTGCTGAAGTCGTTGAGGAAAGCATCATCGAGCGCCTTGTCGCGGCCGACAAGGTGCGATGGTGGAAGAAGCCGAATCTAAGGAGGTTGTACTTGCTGCTTGTGCCGTTTTGCTTGTTTATTGAATCCACCTCAGGGTTCGACAGGTATGTTACCTTCAGAACATTTATATTGCCTTCTTTTTGGCTAACCTTGTTTTTCTTAGTTCAATGATGAACGGAATGCAGGCGCTGAGCTACTGGAAAGACTACTTTAATCATCCCAAAGGAGGCGAGCTTGGTCTGCTCGTCGCTTGCTACAATCTTGGTGCCATCACGAGTATTCCGCTCGTGGCCGTTGTGTCTGATCACCTTGGCAGGAGGAAGAGTATCGTGCTTGGGTCTACCATTATGATTATCGGGGCCATCATGCAGGGATTGTCGCGAAACTGTATGTCTGTGGTCTCAAGATTGCTTGATATCTAGCTTACACCAAACAGTGGCCATGTTCGTCTTCAGCCGCATCTTCCTTGGTCACGGCATCGTGTATGCGATTATTTCTGGTGCAGCACTTCTCGGTGAGCTCGGACACCCCAAAGAACGACACTTCCTGGGTAGTATGTTCAATGCTTTCTTTGGCGTTGGCTCCGTCCTCGGCGCTGGCATCGTCGTGCGTACGGTGCTGATCCCAAATGACTGGTCGTGGCGTCTTCCGTCGATGCTACAAGCAGTGCCATCCGTCATCCAGCTCGTATTCGCCTTTACCGTACCCGAAAGCCCCAGGTGGCTGGTATCGAAAGACCGGAGCGAAGAAGCCCTCGAGATCCTCATCAAGTACCATGCTGAAGGCGATGCCGCCGCCGAGCTTCCCCACGTAGAGCTTGCTGAGATCCGCAAAGCCCTGGAGATGGAAAACGACTCGCGTCAACGCGGATGGGCAGAGCTCTTCCAGTCAAAAGGCATGCGGCACCGGGCTCTCGTCGCCGCAGGCCTTGGCATCTTTGTACAGTACAGTGGCAACAACCTCATCAGTCAGTACCTGGTACCTATCCTGGAGAAAATCGGCATCAAAGACAGCCACACGCAGGTCCGGTACAACGTCGGCTCTGAGGCCTGGGGCTTCCTCATGGCCCTCATCATTGCAACCATCTCACCCCGCTACCCACGCCGAAGAATGTACCTGCTGTGCGCGAGCTGTCTGCTGTGCGTATACACTGCTTGGACCATTGCACAAGCCCGTAACCGCATCACTGGCTCCAAAGAAACCGGCTACGCAGTTCTTGTCATGATCTTCCTGTACAAGCCTGCGTACAACATTGCATACAACGCGCTTACATACGTATACATGGTTGAGCTATTCCCATACTACGTGCGCACAAAGGGACTATCATGGTTCCAGCTGTTCAACCGCTGCGCCGTCATGCTGGGCTCCTTTACGAATCCCATTGGACTTGAGAATCTCGACTGGAAGTTCCTCTTTGTCTTTATCGCGCTGCTCTCGTTTGAGATTGTCTTCATCTACTTTTTGTTCCCAGAGACATATGGCAAGACACTCGAAGAACTTACCTTCTTGTTCGACGACGAGAAGCAGAATCGCGCTACTCTTGCTGCCTCGACGGCCAAGGTCGTGGGGCACGGTACTGACTTTACCGAGATTCATGAGGCGCCTGAGAAGAAGGCTTAGCTGTGCTGTCGCCTGGGGAAGGGAGGGGGAAGGTGGGCGGGGATGCAATGCGGGCGGGTCTTGCACACGACGTTGCGTTTGCCGCTCGGGACGGGGATATGCGAGGAAGTGGAGTGTTTATCGAATTCCTGGAGGATTGTTTGAAACAGTCTAGGTGGTAATGAGAGGGTGATGCGGCTCTGCGGAGTTATGCTATGCACATGTGTTTGGTTGTGTTGATGGTTCGTGATACTCACCATTAGTCAACATGTTGTCATTGTCCCTTGTGACATTCTCTTTTCTTCTTTTCCTTTTTCCTTTTTTCTTAGTCCAGACATTTCATCCTCGTGGTAAGCCTCAGGTGAACTGAAGATATCGCACCGATGTTACGTCTTGCTACAACTCCATGCACCACGTGCGGCACAGCAACGTTCAAACAACAACCACACTAGCGGCGACGTGGTCATCTGACATGTCTCAAAACCAGCCATCTAACAACTAAATCAAGTTAGCAAAGCGCTCACAGTCCTCCATTAGTCTTAAGAACCAAGCCTTCACAATAATGTACCAATAATGTATCAATAATGTATATCTCTTCGTACGACCATGATGCCGAATAAAGACCGGCGGCTACGAGCAGTAGATCCCCAACTCACCGGAAAACCGAAGCAATTTAGCGAGCGAATGACAACCTCTCGGCATCGAAACAAAGGCGAACAAGTGAACGCTTGTCCAGTGACATTACCGAATCAGATGCAACGTTGGATAGATAGCCGCGACCCGATAGGCTGGTTGACTCTCCGCCACTGTTGGTACACGTGTCAGAGCTACGAGATATCGAATGGCATACTCGGCTTCAAGCCATGGTGGTATCAGGGCACTTGGCCAAGTGTTGGAAGTAGATGAGCGCTGACACCCGGCCTTACTGCTACTCACCACGAGCTTTCTTTCGGATACTCTACACCAGGATGACAGCTACGAGTCATCCCAGCGTCCCCTCCGCCATCACGTGAGTCGTGCTCGATGCATGCACGCGTGCTATGCACTTTGCACAGAGATCAGAAATGTACGATGGAAGCGACGTAGAAGGTTCGGAAAATAGACGAGTAGACGACGCAGCCCCAGCCTCTCTTTCCCGTGATTGGCCAGCTATTAATAAAGTGGGGGTGGGGGGAAGTCGGCTCCGCGCTTAACGATAGCAGCCCGCCTCGCTATCGCGACCCCCAAAAAAAGGTCCCTGGGGTTCACGACCATGACGGCCGCCTGCGAAACATCCCACGGCACAGAACTTCATGCGATAGCCGGCGGAGGCTTCAAAGAAACGTCGCCATTCGCCTGTCCAGCAGGTCCAACACGCCTCCTCCGTCTTTTCTGCACATGAACATTGGTTTCAAGGCTTCGATGAGGCTCCAAGCGCTCATATGTGTAGCTGTGCCACATTCCTACATAAGACGTGACCTCATGTAGGAGGAAGGGGCCAAAAACAGTTAGGAACTAATAATACACCTAACGTGCATAAAAATGTCTTTTTCTAGACAGGCTCGGCGGGTAAATGACAGCTAAATGGAGGCTAGGCTGGGGCCATGCGGCCACGCCAGCGGTTATACACCTACGCTGTACGGGCTACTGCCTCTGCGGCGCACCGGCCTGGCTGCTCCCGAAGCCCACGCCACATGCAACTGTCTAGGCATCTGCCCTCAGCCGCCTTTCTTGGCGTGCTTTGCTGGAGGTTGGGAGACGGGGCCTTGCGGCTAGCGAGTGCCGTGAATGGTCGATGCCCTCGGTACTACGTCGATTTCCAGAATATTGGGCATAGTATGCATGTACGCCGCAGTAGCAGCTGTGTTTGACGTTTCTTGGGCCGTCCAATCAGGCATGGGCCTGACAAGTGCTTATATGGCTGCTCACTGCTGTTATAGTACCGCCCAAAGGCAGCTACTGAGAAGCACTCACTCTATAGCCTCTACCCAAGCAGGCGTCTTTTTCTCTTGCATCACAGACGCTTGTACTCTTCCTTTCATCTTTACTATATTTTAGAAGAGATTTGATCTCAGTTTGTACTTCTTAATGCCATACCCCATCACTGTCCCAGGCTCCCCGTCCAATATGGCTCACGCACCAAAGAGCCCGATGCACTGGCCTAGCTTTCCTGACATCCCAATCTATCTTGATACTGGGAACAATGGACGCAACATATCAAACACATACGGAACAACACCGACAACACCGACAACACCTGAGGTCGTCACGAGAAACCGTCCTACGTATCTGAGTCCGGCACATGCAACTGCAGCACCGATTAGTCCTGTCGAGCCGAGTCCAACAACAACCATAGAAACATCAAGCCAACGGTCCGTGGTCTGGCCGATCCCTGAGCCTCCACCTGAGGTTGTACAACAGCAGCAGACGCGTCGTCCGCTGCTACGATTCTTTCCGACAGACCGCCCAAGGGTTCGGCTTGATGGGTTCGCTGCAAGCACACCAATGCCGTACGACCCTGAGAGGGCCGAGAAGGCCACTTACAAGCATGAGAACACCCTCAAACTCGATACCGGGCTTGGCATCCAGAATGGCCCTCCTAACGCGCCTTCAATACGGATACAGCCCCCACCTTTCGAGAACGAAAAGTCTGAACCAGCTCCAAACATCGCACAACGAATCGAAGAAAGGCTCTGGCGATGGAATGCATCCGGAAACGTCATGGAGCGTTGGATGCTGGAGATCATCAGTTGGCTTATCAGTGCCATATGCATGGGAGCCATCGTCGCTGTCCTTATCGTACTCAGGGACCAGCCCGCATCGAAATGGCCATTTGATAGCATCGGCTTTACCTTGAACGCTTTTGTCTCAATCCTTTCTCGGATCGCTGGTGCTGCACTTCTTCTCCCAGTCGCCGAAGCCTTGGGCCAGCTGAAGTGGAGCTGGTTCATCAAAGGCAATTCAAAGAAGATGTGGGACTTTGAGATGTTTGACAATGCGTCGAGAGGTCCATGGGGTGCATTCCTACTTCTTATTCACACTCGGGGAAAAACCATTGCAGCCCTAGGAGCCCTTGTTACGATCTTTTGTCTTGCTCTAGACCCGTTCTTTCAACAGGTTGTGGCCTTTCCTGAGCGTTGGACGTTGCAAAACGAAACTAGCTCCATACCAAGAGTCATTCGGTATGAACCACACTATCCTGTGGAGTTCGTAAACGGAGAAGAGAATACGCAATACGACCAGGATATCCTGGCGGTTGCAGACACTTTCTTTCTTGGTAACGGAACCCAACAGCAGCTGTATGGCAATGGCACTCGCCCCGACATTCCGCTCTCTTGCCCAACGAGCAGATGTACATGGCCATCGTATGAGACACTAGGAATGTGCAGTCAATGTGTCGAGGTTCCGCAGCTCCTTACTTTCAAGTGCATGTACACACGTGTCGACTGGACATCTGAGCTCAATACGACGGTTTCCTCGTATCCTAATGCTACAGTATGCGGTCACTTCCTGAATGCTACGTCTGAAGCCCCAGTACTCATGTCAGGATATATGGTTGACGACAACGGAAAGCCTTTTGGTGAGGCTTTGCTGATGCGAACCCTACCGCTTATAACAAATCCGCTACGAGCGCCGCTCTGGGGTGGATCAATCAACTTCAAGCACATCCGGAATCCACTTGAAAACGTTCTGATTTCCAGCAGTAGTAGTCGATCTCAAGTCTTCGCCAACAAAATGCCTACGCTCCACGAATGTGTGGTCTCATGGTGTGTAAAGACTATGGACTCCTCGTACCTATCGGGAATGTACCAGGAAAATGTTACCTCGACCTTCTACAATGACACTGTCGACGGATCTCCATGGATCACTGAGTTTGATCCAACCGACGGAGGTACATGGTATGACTATATCGAGAACGTTACCATTTCTGCACCTTCCACTAGTGCAAACATGAGCGAGTATGGCTGGGGTGTCAACAACCTTACAATGATCTTCACCATTATGGTTTTCGATCGCATTTTCCCTGCTTTCACAACAGCTAAAGACGACACGAGCACACCGCTACTTAGATGGAGAACTGGTTCCCCAACCGAAGTTCGAACCAGAGTACCCGATTTCAACCCATGGCTGTCATCAAACAACATTACGAACCACATGGAGAGATTGGTGAATTCTATTACCAATGCAATCCGATCATCTTCAAGTCATGATATGATCTCTGGTCAAGCCTTTGAAAACGAAATATACGTTTCAGTGCGTTGGGCATGGCTGTCCCTCCCGTTTGGACTGCTTCTGGTCAGTTTCGTTTTCCTGTTAGCAACGGTGATCAAATCTGGATCAGAGAAGGAGGTGGGAATCAGGAAAAACTCGGCCATTGCAACGCTACTTTATGGACTTCCCGATCATTACCAAAAGCGCCTCGCAAAGCCCGACCCTAAGATGACTCCAAGAGCGAAAGCGAAAGATTTGAAAGTAAAATTATCGCCGACTACAGGGTGGAGGGTATCGGGCAATGTGTTTACCCCAGTGACACCAACAATCCCGAGGAATCTCCCACCGCCAGGGTGGATATGATTCCAAACCATTAAATCAGAATATATCTCTTCAGTTCTTCCAACCACTATGATCAGGCTTTGATATCCGCTTCTTCAGATTGGACATCTAAGGACTCAGTGAATCTCTTGCCTGGACCACCGCCCGCACCCTTGATTGCTCTCTTGGTTGGACCACCACCTCCGCCTTTGATTGCTCTCTTGGTTGGACCACCACCTCCGCCTTTGATGGCTCTCTTAGTTGGACCACCAGGTTTGTTTTTGACGGGCCTTGTACTTGAGCGCCCTTCTAGTATGCCGACCGCATCAACATTATCGTCCTCCTCTTCCTCAACAGATGCTTCAGGAGCAGCCGCTCTTGGAATGGCTTCTATAAGTGGCTCTCGCTTGAAAAAATCTCGAAACAGCTGAGTAACGGAAAAGTCTCGACGTTCGATTGCAACGCTTTCTTGTGGAATAAGCTGGACCAAGTATCAGTACAAGTGATGGACTATCCACATCTATCAAGCTACGTACATTGTTGACGGATAATGGCATCGCTATCATTGGCATTGCCAAAGACGCGGCCAAGAAAAGATTACGGACGTGCATATTGGAGGTGGGAAGGAAGATTTGCCGCCGTCGGGTAACCCTGAATTCCAGAGGGCTAGGTGAAGACTTGGGAAAAAGATTAAAACGTTGGCACAGCCAGGCAAGAGTGGACTCCGAAAGATTGACACGGTTCTGTTTGTCTCACTGTGGAGTTGTCCTTTGGATGTGGGAGCTGTCCATGCATTTATCCACGGTCCCGGATGCAAGGCAGCGAGAGCTTCGACGCGACATCACACTACATGGCCATTTCCACTGTCCATCCACGGCGCTTCAAACCGTGGCGACCTCATCAACGATAACCGCCTTTGGGGCCACCGACGCGACGCGGCACGCATGGAACAAGCATACATTGTGATTTTGTCATGCGCATGTTGCGCAATCATTGGAGGAGCAATATGAGGGCATGATGGTTGGGGTACCAATCCGGCAAGCTGAAACGCAAAGGCCACCGCAACTGCAACACAAGGCGTTAGGCCAGACTTTGTGGATGCCCGCGAACGCGACGTGGAGGAGCGAAGAATTTCCTGGCGTTTTCATCACATCGAGTTATCACATCGAGTTATCACATTCGAAGCGCTGAAAGGGCTTACTACAAGGCGATCCTGTTGACATACGATATCTGTAAGTCTAAACCTTTACGTGCGATTTCTCAAATCCCTAGAACGCTTTCTAACCAGTCAAAAGAAATTACGATTGTGACGTGGCTTGGCGGCGTCTTGCACACTTGACCGAAGACGAGGCGATTGGCTCTGCACGATCGGTACCTTGCGCCAATTAGCCGTTCCCGCGACCTAGTCACAGCTCTTCCACACACACGTGATGCGCATCGGCGTTACGCTTTTGTACAGACATTGAGATCATACTGCTCGAAAGAATTTTTTGCGAGATTGTCGCTCTGGTGCGTTGTTGTCCTAGCTATTGGTGGCGTTCATATCCCCGCTTCGTACGTAAGTAGCCGGAGTTAATGGAATTCCCTACTTCTCTCAATGAGGCAATTCTCACGTTGCCTACTTGCAACGTACACACTTACCAAAACAACTAACTCGTACATATAAACCTGGGTCGAAAATGCTTGTTTTACTGTTGCGACATGCTTCAAAACGACATGGTTCATGGATACACCTTTAATTGCGACATTGCAATGACAGTACCTGGGTACATACATACAAGCAATGTTCAGGAGCACATTGAGAGTCATTCACCAATGGCATGTTCTGGTTAAGCGCCCAGTTTCAACACTGACGTTATCGGGTTCCCCTCCACTTTTGCTTCGGCCTGGCAGCTACATGCACTTCAACCTTATCGAAACCACCCTTCATGCAGCTTCATCTCCTGTTCGTTTCTGGCTTCTGTTACAACAGCCCTACCCTTATCCATGTAACGCATGTCCCCATCATGTATGTGAACATCATGCGCAGGCAATCACAACACCTATGCAATGTGATATTGACGACTCCGAGATCTCGTCATCTCCTTGCCTTAGCATTGGAGTCTTTATCAGCCTCCTTAAGCTTGGCTGACTTATGGGCCGTAGAGCCTCCACTTGGCAACTGGTTCAGCCTCATCACTTGTCGCATAGTAATGATGATCTTGGAAATGATGTCAACTGTAAAACAACTGTCTTCCCGCTCTACATGTCCCTGTGACATGTCTGACGAAAACATTAACATGCGCCAAGCGTCTGTGAAGCTCTGAAAGCTCGGCCTCACTCCTTTGTTTTGGGCATTCAGCACGTGTGCACATTGCAATACCAACCCGCTACAGTAAGCTTAGTAGACACCTATGTCCATGCGGTAAGGGAGTAACTTATGCCAACAACTCACCGCTCCGCTCCCCTCTCGCTTGCAATCTTCCCAGTCGTTACCACAATTTGTATACCTAAGCTCAATTGTTGGTTCAACGAAACCTATGCCTGGACATCTTGAGACCTTATAAATTTGTGCAGGCGAATGTGGTTTCGTTTCGTGTCATCCTCCGCTTAGTAAAGTTTGCAATTAGTCGGATGTGGGTGAAAGATAACTATGTCATGAGCACGTGACTAACAGACACTCCAAATGCAGGCGTATCAGTCTAACCACACCAAGGATAGCTCATAGCATTCCGCTAGTCTACAGAGGGAAGAAAGTCGCCTTGCGTTCTGCCTAGTTAGCATAATCCCTCATCGCACTACGTCGGGCGCTTATGTTCACCATCCCATGTATTGCCAGCCAGTCTCTCGTTCCACCTAACTTGTTTGGACTTGATCCACTTGACATGCTGGCTCTACATACTGCACTGCGCCCTGGCGCTACGACGGATCTCGGCCGCGTCATCCGCCGCATCATTGGTTCGGCTGCCTCTTACCGCGAAGGGGCCTAATAGGCCAAGTATCGTCAGGCTACGGCGCTAAACGTCTTACTTTTACAGGTTTAATCGCAGCGCCAAGTATGCCTCTGTACTCGAGTCCTTAGGTCTTCGGTTCTGCATGCACACATGCGCCGGTAAACGCTTATCGAAGCGCAGGCTCACAACCACATCGCTCCGCCAGGTGGTTCATCCTTTGCTTAGCCGATAAGCGCTTGAATATGCGCGTTGGTGTTCTTGCAGAAATGCCTGCTTGGTACGGACACAGCCGCGAATCATGGAGGTCATAACCTCATTCAATGGCCGCGGCCTTTTGTGTATTAATTTAGGGATTATTATTAGTGTTTTTATTAAATTTTGCGCGCTAATAATAGGCGTAAGAAACTTAGGCCTATTCTAAGTGCTAGCTATAATAAAACGCAATCAACACGCTAAGTAATATTACGTATATATAGATTAATTAAAATCCTTTAACGCACTTATACTATATAATAGCGTAATTATATTTATACTGAATAAGTCTTACTAATATAATAAAGCTTCTAAGTTAGTAGTATAAGTAGTAGAAAAGATATATTATAAAAAAAGTAATATTTTATATATCAGAAAAAAGCTTATATGAGTTACTTACTACTACCACTTTACTACTATTATAACTTACTACTACTATATAACTTAAAATTTAATCACTTAAAATATAAGAGCTTAAGATTTAAAAACTTAATAGTTATACTACTTTTTACTTGATCTAGCGCTAGTAGCTATAGAAGTCTATAGTATACTATTAAAATAGCTATAAGCTATTCTTTATAACTTTAATACTATTTATATTAATATAATACTTTTTTTCTTTTATAGCTTTTTGGAAAACTTTTTCTTAATACTATCTATTATATATAACTATTACTTCTTTACTTTATTTTTAATCTATTAACTTAATAATTTTTTTACTATACTATATTAATATATTTAAGTAGTAAAAAGCTTTTAGCTTCAATATATAGCTTAATAGCTTTCTTAGTATTAATAAAAGCTTTACGCTTATTATTATTAAATTAAAGTTTAGCTAATATAAGTAACTATTTATAATAGAAAATCTACTTAGTATTCTTAAGCTAGTAATAAATATTTTTAGCTACTTTTTTTAAAGTAAACTTTTTTCTAAATATATAAGTAAACGTAAAAGTTAGTATTACTAAAAAAGTGTACAACTGTAAGGTAAGTATAAAGCTCAACTTTAGCTACTTATTAAAGTAAATAATATTATAGCTAAATAAATAGTATTTATTTAGATATAAACTAATTAGTTAATTAATAAATTAATTAATTAGTTATATATTGTCGTGGAGCGTTGTTCACCTCCAGCTGCGTAGGTGCTTTGTGGCTATACAGGTTCTGTTATAAGTAGTCTAATAGTTATTCCAACTACTACTATAGTACATAGGCCTATATTCTAATAGGTATTTAAAAAATGTTATCATATATTTTTTTATATTAATATTATCTGTCTCTATACTATTTCCTGTACTCCCTAGTTATATACCTGTCTCCTAGCGCTGTCTAACTACCTTTTAGCTACTAGGATATACCTCCTAGTTGCTCCACTATAATATAAAGTATGGAAAAGTAAAAAAAATACTATAAAAATTAAGTTAATAACGTACTACACTAGTGAGGCGGCCAAACCAGTGAGCCATCCACTTTTTCTTAGCACTGCGAACACGACAAAGCATACATTATATCTCTATAACGTAACGCTATGTTATTATACAAAGAAGGCAGAATTGACCTTACGCTTTAGGCCTTTACTACTAGCTAATTTAAGACCTTACAACGTGCTGCAGCAGCCTATAGCATATAATATTAGCAGCTCTCTAATTAGCTTTATAGAATTACTAATTAACTTCATATATAACCTAGAGTCTAGAAGCTTACTATAGCAAAGGAATAGACTATTATACAATACAGTCTTAACCTTAACGCGTAAGGATTTACGCCTTAGCTATATAAGGTAGTAGATATAGCTAATTAATTGCTAGCTGCTTATAGTAGAGTACCTATGAGTAAAAACTAGGCTTAGCGCTTTGTTGCTTATATAAAGAAGCTTAAGATAGCTTTTAATTAAGTAAAGGACTATTAAAGAGCCTTTTAGAAAGACCTAAAGGTTATTAGCTTATAGTTTAAGCTTATATAAGATATAATTAACTAGTTTAAAGTCTATCTAGATAATATCTATAACTTTAATAAGACTAGCTTCTAGATGGGCGTTATTAGCTTAATAAAGGTTGTTACTAGTTTAGAACGTTGTACAAGACTAAATCTTATCTAGCTAGGGGACTAGAAGTAAGTACTAGTTATCTAAGGCATCTATGCTACTAGGTATACTATTCTACTATTTATTATCTACAAAGGACGTATCTACATCTCTATATAGTATAAAGAGCAAGATATCTTATATAATTAGAAAATTTTAGTCTTGAAGAATAGCTAGACTAATAATTAGCTTAGTTTTAAGTAGTTAAAGCACTTTAACGCGTATATAAAGACGCGTTAAAAGGGGTTATATAGGCTGCTAATCTTAGATAGGCATAAGAGCTACCTTAATAAAGATTCTAAGGAATACTACCTTATATATAAGATTCTTACGCTCTTTATACTTTCTTACTTATTATACATTCTTTAGCTACTTAATATAGTGTATTTCTTACTATTAAAATTAAAGTACTCTTAACGCGTATAAGACTTAGCACACTAACGCGTCTACTATATTAATAAAGAAGGCTTTCTTCTAGCCTTTAAATACGTGTTTTTTGATATATTTATATATAATAACTATAAGAAGGCCTTTAAGGCTTTAGGACTTATCTCTATAAGCGCGTAGGTAGTTATAAATTATCTTAAGGTGCAGCTTTATACGCTATTACTAGCACCCTTCTTAGAAACGCTCTAGTAGTTAAGAACACTAAGTAACCTACTTAAATTTAGATTATAATTAAGTCTTATAAGAGAATTCTTTATATAATTACCAATCAGTGCTTAAGAAAGCTTTTTAAAGCTTATTAAAAGAGTAGAAGAGATGCTATATAAGAATATTCTAATTAAAGCTTACGTATAAAAGCTTAAAGAGCAATTAGTAGAGGTTATAAAGCACAAAGGTTAAAAGCAAAAGCAGATCTAGCATAGTAGGACACTAGAGTATAGTGTAGCAGCATTAATAGTAGCTAAGAGTGCTTCTAGTAGTCGTACGATAGCAAAGAGAGCGCGTAGTAGTAGTAGTTAAGAACTAGCCTAACTAGGTTAACAGCGCTATAGCAACTATAGTAAGACTAGGTATAACGCTTATACGTGCTAAAAAGATATAGTAGAAGATTCTAAATCTAATGCAAGTGTCTTATATAAAGGATTAGTCTATAGTGTTAAGTAATTTAATTGTTTATATATAGTGTTCGTAATGCTAAGAAAAAGTAGCTGGCTCACTAGTTTGGCCGCCTTACTAGTGTAGTACGTTATATATAAACTAGTTTATCTAAGCCTATAATAACTAACTATAATAAAATCCTACCTATAATTAAGCTAGTCTTATTAAAGTTATAGATATCTTTATTTATGATACTATACTTTACCTTTATATTCTAAACTAGCTTAAACTAGCCCTTAATAAGCGCTAGGTCTTTGTAGAGAGCTTACTAGTAATTATATAGATAGCTCTAGCGCGTACGCAGCTTAGGATTGCGCTAGACAAACCTATTAACCTAGTTCTTGCCCACCTCCTTCTCGCCACGCTCTTGTAACGGCGCAGGTAAGGCAGGTCGGATCTGTTTCGGTCGTAGGATCACTCAGAGGCATATGGGAGTGCGTGGGATCACAAAGAGCCTAGATTCAACAAGCCACCTATAGGCCTTGTACGAAAGGATATCAAAAGTCTACAGAGCTAGCTACAGGGAGTGTCTCAATATATACCTATCCTAGTCGGGTCCGAATTCGGATCCGACCTCGGGCGAATGGCTGATGAAGGGCGGCAGGTACTTCCTCCGATCCGGCTCTGGGATTGGCTCAATACTTGGCGAAGTTGTAACATCGTTACAGCTCTTAGAGCAGTCTGTTAGCTATATCTCGCACGTCGTCTTTCTTATAAGGTAGTCCTCACTTAGCCTTAACTATTACACGCATAGTAATAGCCTCCTCTTCTAGTTTTATTAGGCGCCTTACTAGTAGCTCTTAATCGCTTTAAGGGCGCTATCTAGCTTATTAACGCTAGATTATTATTCATAGGACGCTATAGGCAGTAGTAGCGCGTTATTTACTTTAAATTTATTTAAAATTAAGATTAGTAATAGTAAGAAATAGATCTACTTTATTATAAGTTTTTAACAGGTTGCGTTGTTAAAATATTACGCGTTGTTGTTGCAAAGGTAGGATATGATAGGGAAGTGGCCTATATACTAGGGTGGCCCGCTTACTAGTGAAACACATTATTACTTTTTTTTGTTATTACCATTAAATTTTTTATTTATTTAAGCTTATTATATACTACTTTAATAAGTAGTAGCTTATTAAAGTAGTATAGTAGCAAAGAATAAAGAAGATCTAGCTAGGCAATTATAAGTAGGTTACGCTAATATAAGGCGTTAGTGCAATAGGCACGCGTATCCTAGCGTTTCTTATCTTTGCTAGTAAGGTTCTAATCTCTACTTAGTTTATAGAAGATCTACTACGCAACTAGATAATCTAAGTTAGTCCTACTAGCTAGATAAACAACAATCTAGCGCTTAACTAGCTTTGTTACTTTAATTCTTATACGCGGCCTGTAGGGACGTATAGGCTGCTTATTATTAATAGCTATAAGAGCTACTGCTTAGTGGATTTCTAAGATCTCTATAAAGAGATAAAGATAATCCTCTTCTATATGCCTCTCTACTTATTATACCTCTTATAGCCTCTTAATATAGGCTACTTCTTGCTATTAAAGCGCGCGTATAGTAATGCTATCTTAGTCTTAGCACGCAATTATATCTACTATATTAGTAAAGAAACCTTCCTACTAGCGTTTAAAGAGGCCTATTATAAGGCTATTACACTAGAAAATATCTATAGAGGGTTCTAAGGTGCTAGAATTTTACCGCACAATTATAACGTTGTTTTATTATAGCTTAACGTTATGCTATATACACTAACTCTACTAGCGCAAGAGACTACTGCTTAGGAGCTAAAAACGCTGTATAACGCGCGCGAAATAGAGGCGTAGGCTACGCTTATTTAAAACTATATATAAATCTAGCAAGGGTCTTCTATAAGTTCTCTTTAGGAGTAGATATAGTAGTTAAGTAAGAGAGCTTAGTAGATAGCTTATAATATAGTGTTAATATAAGAGAAACTTAATTGCCTTAAAGCTATAATTACTAAAGTAACAAAGCGAAAAACTTATAAGAGGCGCTACGTATAAATAGAGGGGTCCTAGATAGTTAGCTAGATAGCTAATTAGATTACTAAGGCAGAGGGTGGTAGCTATAATAATAGTGTAACGTCTACGAAGAGGGTGCGTAGTAAATAGCGCTGCGGGCGTTGTAGCTAAATTAGATATAACTTTTGCGCTTATTAAGTAGAATTAAAGGATATAGAGGATAGCAATGCGTCTAAAGAATAATATCTTATTTTACTTAATAAAGAATATTATAGTAGTGTTACGTAATACTATTACAAAGATATAATAGTTTAGGGAGGTGGCCTATATACTGGGGTGGCCCGCTTACTGGTGAAACACGTTAGTAATTAAGTAGTTATTATATAACTTTTTAAAAAGTACTTCTTAAGTTTAGGCTATTAGATTAAGTAGAAATTTCACTAAAAATTAAATTATTCAGTAGTTTTAGCATTTAAGAATACTAAAGCTTTAGCTATTAAAAGCTAAGTAATAAATTATATACTTTATTTATTTTATTTATTTATATACCTAGTAGGTAATAGGAGCTTATTTAAGTTTATTAATCTCTATTAGAAGTAATACTATCTCTCTTTCGCGATTCACTAGAAAATCATAACCTCATTCAAAACATCGCTTTAAGTGGCGGGTCAGGCCTCCCCGAATTTTAGCCAGCCGACAGCCAAACAACCATGCAACCGCAAGATTCATTTCCATTCCCTACCTACAATGAACCTCGATTCCCACACCTGCCAACAGTTGGAGATACCACCAGTCCGCCACCCAATGTTCATCGAGGCTCCGACTCTGATAAGCCCCGCTTCGACATTTTAATCCGCCTTGAGAAAAAACTTGCACAATACAATGCATCTGAAAGCATCGTGAAACGCTGGTTGTTCGAAATCATCAGCGTTACAACAAGCGCTATTTGTATGGGTGCGACCTACTCCACCTTTCGATTCCACATGGGCAAATAACTGAGTATGGTACCAGGTGCGATCATTGGAATACTACGCCATCTCAGTGATCGATCGCTCAACGCATGGCCTCTCGGTCTGGCTATCATTACAGTCCTCTCAAAAGTTGCATCGGCAGCACTCATCTTGCCAATATCAGAGGCTATTGGCCAACTTAAGTGGACCTGGTTTCATGGCAAAAAGTCCAGAGATGCATTCGATTTCGAAATCTTCGACAAAGCTTCACGTGGCGCATGGGGCTCTGTTATGCTCTTATTTCGTACAAAGGGCAGGTCTCTCGCGGCATTGGGAGCTCTTTTGACAATCTTGTTATTGGCGATTGATACCTTCTTTCAGCAGGTTACCGACTTACCAGAGCGATGGAAACTTCAAGGAGAGAGCTTCATCCCACGCGTTGTCCGGTACGAACCCAATATCGAGTTTCAATATGAGGACAAGACAGACGCGCCGATGGCCGTGCCAAACAACGGGTTATGGAGGGGGCTAGGGCCGTTCTTCTACGACCAGAACGGTACCCGCCCACTGGAAACTGGTAACTCTACACAAGCTGAGATACCGCTTATATGCCCTACCAGTCGGTGCGAATGGCCACCGTACGAGACTTTAGGCGTTTGCAGTGCTTGCGAAGATGTTTCCCACCTTCTCGAGTATGCTTGTCTCACAACGAGAATGGACTGGATCAGAGCTGCTAAGGGTAATGGAATGAATCTCACCTATACCGAAGGTATGTCTACCTATACATTATGTATGGATTGGCTGGGTTTGGACTTTCCCTTACGCGGTCCTTGTATGCTGAGACATTATGAACACCGAATTTCTTCCAAGCCAGCGTTTTCTTTGGGCAGGAGCTTACAATTCGTTTATAGGAACTGCCTGCGGCTACTTCTTGAATGCAACTAGCGACAATCCTGTTCTTATGTCAGGATTTCGCGTGGACAACCTCACCAACCCTGTACCGGGTGAGACACTCCTGATGCGCACTTTACCGCTTGTTACCAGTCTCTTCAGGGAATCTCTATATGGGGGAACCATCAACTTTGACGCTATTCAGTATCGCATACTCGATGCGATTGTTGTGAGCTCAGTGGATGGATCTGCCAATAGTGTCTATGAGAAAAAGCGCCCAGTTGCTCAAGAATGTATGTTGTCATGGTGTGTTAAAACACTCCGCTCGTCGTACGATTCCGGGGACTATCAAGAAGAGATACAGGATACTTTCATCAATACAACCAAGGCGGAATGGCCATGGCAGATTGAAAATGACCCAGTGACTGAGTCAACTATACAGACGTTCATGCCAAATATCAGCATATATCCTCCCTCACAAGCAGGAAGCAAGATGGCCTTTGGGGTCTCCAATGATACATTCCTGGATACCGTCCTCATTCTCGACGAAATTTTTCCATCGATGATTACGATATCGAATCCAACGGCGCGACCATTCATCAAAATACGCGTTAGCAACACCAGAGCGGCCACCTTTCGTACGGTTCGGTTCAGCCCTTGGCTTGCACCGAACAACGTTAGCCATCATCTGGAACGAATGGCTCAAGCTATTACAAATGTGATCAGGTCCGATACGGATAGCAATGAGCTTATTGCTGGTACTGCCTATGCCCGAGAGACGTACGTGGCGGTCCATTGGGCATGGCTTGCGTTTCCGTTAGCTATGCTACTACTGAGCATAATTTTCCTAATATCGACGATATTAAAGACCTCGAGCGAGAATTACCAGGAAATCGGCATATGGAAGACTTCAGCTATGCCAACCTTGATGTACAGTCTGCCAAACGACGCACAAAGGGGGATCATATCGGCGACCCGTCCAAAAGAGATGGCATTCAAAAACACAGAAAAGGTGCGAATTAGACTTATGCCCAAACAGGGCTGGAGAGTTTCCGGACAAATACACCCTGGGCCGACTCCGCCGCCTGGTTTTATTTAAAGCAAATAGTCATCAATAGGATACTTAGTCATAGATCTTGAGACATAATTTTTCATTTAATTCCTGTAGATCTCCCAAGCATTCATTACTGAAAAATATGCGAACAGACGGTTGATAGCCGTAAGCACATGCGCTCCGATTGCGGACTTGCAATCGTCTCGAACAGCAAATGCTAAGAGCATGGCTCATTTTTGCCAATTCTCTCACGACTCAGCTCTGCATGCAATTTTTCAAATCAGGTATGGTCTCTACTTGCCACGCGAGAATTAAAATACACTGAACACATTGCCGAGAGTATGCAGTGTTGTGTAAAGAAAGGGCCGGGAGCCTAGGCGATCTGCAGCTGTGCCGTAACCTGCATGGACGCGCAATGACCCAGGACGCGCAATGACCCACCCCACCAAAAAACCTATTGCAAAAGATGAGGCTGTACAGCCACCCACAGTCGCTATTATCACGAGATTTTATGGTGTTGTAGTAATTATAGCATTGCGATCATGATAGGCTACTTATATCTACTTAGTAGCTTAGTGGTGCGGCTGTGGCGGGTGGTTCGAGTTAGGACGGCTAGTGCAGCCACCTTAGCTTGTACATAAGATGAATCAACAACAATACGTTTCTAACGCTTCTGCTTTTGAGAGGAGCCTTGTGAGGCTTTGCGCTTACCCCTTTGGGATAATTGTATAGCTTTTTTAGCCTCCCGGGCTGCCTTTTGAGCCTCCTTTTGAGCCACCTTGGCGGCTCTCTCCTTCTCTCTCACCTCCTTGAGCCTCTCTCTCTTAACACGCTTCTCCTGGGCTATTTGAAGCTTGTACAATTGAGCTTGTCTCCTTAACTTAGATCTCTTAGCTTTCTGGAGTTGTAATTGCTGTTGTTCTTGTTGTCGTTCCATCTTATCCTCCTTGGCTTGGCGAACCTTCTTAGGAGACTAAAAGACAGCTCCTCTATGGTACTCCTTAGGCCTATTGAGTTGAAGCGTGTAGCTCTTCTTTTGGTGTCTCTTTTTGACCTTTAGAGCCTCCCTTAAGCCCTGGTTTTCTCCTTTAAGTATACTATTTTGAGCTGAGAGGTGATGGAGGCTTCGGCGAAGCTTTTTTACCTCCTTATTATTGAAATCCTTCACCTCCTGGCGTATAATAGACTTAATTTTGAGCCAATCATCTCCACTAAGGACAGAAGAAGAGCTTTCATCTGAACTAGAGGCCTCTTGTTGGAACTTTTGGAGAATAACCTTAGCATTTAGTGGGTTAATGCCAGTTGCCTTAAAGGAGCTTATAATAGTCTCCTCTCTAAAAGCTGTACCCCAAGCCCTCTAAAAGAGCTTAAAGAAGTCTCCTTTTGCTAGAGGAAGGATTCCATGGCTCTAATAGAGGAAGTTTAACAACTCCTTTGAGTAGGCTGACGCTAGAGGCCCAAACATCCTAACGTTAAGAGGCTGAAGCCTATAGGTCGAATAAGGAGGATATACAGCAACTAGAATCCTATGGCTGTTGCAATAATTCAGAAAATCTACAGTTACATGAGATGAGTGGCCATTAACAATGAGTAACTAGTACCTAGTTCGAGCGTAGCGTGCAGTCTCTCTTTCAAAGACCTCTTTAAGCCAAGCTAGGCCTATATTATTGTTAGTCCATCTAGAGGGCGATGAGGTAACAAAGACTGAGTGCTTGTTTGGATTAATAGCCTCTACCTAGGCTGATTTTAGAGCTCCAGCATCTGACTAAAAGATGAGAGATGGAGAAAGAGGTGTACCATCTGAGCAGATACAGGCTAGGACTGTAATCCACTCTCTAGAGCCATCTTGTAGGCTTAAAACAACTCCTCCTCTTTCATATTGCCTCTTACTAAAGATCCTTTTAGACCTTCCAAAGATTCTAAGTAAGAAGCCCTTTTTATCCATATTGAAGATGTAAGAGGGCTGTATATTATACTCCTTCATCTTATTATGTAACAGCTCAAAGTACAACCTATACTTGGTTGCTAAATCAGCCTTGTGACGCTTCTAGTCCATAGGACTCTGCCAGCGAGAGATAAGATGAGAGGAGTTCCTGCAAAGGAACCTAGAAACCCAGCGTTCTAAAACGTCTCTACCAAGCAAGGATGACGCAAGATGGCGTATTATTGGACGCGAAGGTGGTGTACGCCTCTTAGTAAGGGATTCGATGTACTGTACAAGCTCCTTTTCGCGTTGTAGGTGGATAGAGAGGTGGGCGAGCGCGCGAGGCTGAGTTTTGCCTTGGTGTCTTTGAGCGAGCGTACGATAGCTAATGCTAAACCTTTTTGCAACTTGGCGATAGCTAAAAGATGCGCCTAGTTCGCGCGATTCGATTTCTTCAATCGCTTCCTGAATTGGGTCCATATTGGTGGAGTTATGAGGTATTTTGTGTAGGTGTTGAGTTTGGTGGGGTGGGTCATTGCGCGTCCATGCAGGTTAGCGCTAACAGCGCACCTACTATAGGTACGCGATAACGAAGCGCAGGACCAACCTCCCCGTGGGAACACCAAGGCCTTAGACTTCAAATTTAGCGGCATATCGGCGTTTATTTGTATAAATTTACTTGCTAAGATCTGGTCGTATACATCACTTCGGGCTCTCCACATTTGAGAATATTGCCATGTCATCGCCCGCCTTGCGCGCGGAACTCGCCATACGCCCAGCCGTTCTCATCAAATCGCAAACTGCAAATCTTTCTCTATTTACTCGATTACTATACAAGCTTTTGATCAAGTATCCAGGACTCTGAGCGGCTTACCGCCTGGATTTCAGTTCTATCATTCAAGACCAGACATATATTTCATCTGTTCCGGTTACCAAACATATCAATGACCGCGCCTCTCAAATACACGCAACAAAACCCAGCATCCCCGCAATTTCTGGCTCAAGTCGCCCCACAGTACCGTTTTTCCCCAAATCCGCCGCAACCCCGGGTTAATCGCCGACGAGACAAACCCGGTTCATACGCCTCGACAACAAAAGAGAAGCGTTCTCTCGATCTTACACAACATTTGGAGAAGAAGCTCGCGGAATACAACGCATCAGACAATGTCTTCTTGCGATGGCTGTTCGAGATTGGAAGCTGGCTCGTCAGCGCACTTTGCATGGGTGCCGTGATTGGTATCTACATTCACATAAATCAAACTCCCATGTCCCAATCTCAAACATTTCTCACCCTGGCCAACGTACTTGGGAAAACTGCCTCAGCCGCGCTCATAATCCCTACTTCGGAGGCATTGGGGCAACTCAAATGGCACTGGTTCCATGATTCCAAAGAGATATGGGATTTCGAAATCTTCGACAAAGCATCACGAGGCGCATGGGGCGCTGCACTGCTGTTATTTAGAACCAAAGGCCGCTCCCTAGCTGCGCTGGGAGCTCTGTTAATCGTACTTCTTCTTGCGATTGATACGTTTTTTCAACAGGTGACCACCCTTCCAGATAGGTGGACGCTGCATAAATTACCCGGCGAAATTCCTTACGTCGTTCGCTATGAACCCCTCTATCAGAAAGAAACCCAAGGAGGATTCGAAGCAAGCATCATAAACACAGAACTACAGCCGATTGTCCAGGATTTTCTGTACAAGAACGGCACTAAGCCAGTCCGATTTGGCAACGGCAACCGTCCGGAGATTCCCCTTTCATGCCCGACAAGCAATTGTACGTGGCCAGAATATGATACACTTGCTGTCTGTGGCACTTGCAAAGAAGTCAGCGATCTTTTAAACATTACATTTGCCTGTTTGAATACTACAATAGATTGGAGCACTGCGTGGGAAGGACCGCTTTCTAAAGTACCCTATCCCAAGGGCCAGGTATGCGGACATTTCTTGAACATCACGGCAGAACAACCTATACTTCTCTCTGGTTATTCCATCAAAGACGGCAAACCAAGAGGAGAAGAAGACGAGGCTTTGCTGTTCAGAACATATCCACTCACAGCCTTTTTGACCAAAAAGCGATTATACGGCGTCGGCTCGGTAGCATTTAAAAACATACGCAACCCAATCCTCCACGCCTTGGTTGCCTCCGCAGTCGACGGGCCAGAAAGTGTCTATCAGAACAAAACACCCATCGTCCATGAGTGCTTTCTCTCATGGTGTGTCAACACTATCAAATCGTCGTATGGTTTGGGTGAATACAACGAAGAGGTCATATCATCACAGTACAATCATACCATGGGCCCAAGTCCTTGGGATTCATGGGAGATTCCGGAAGACCAAGGAGGGGGTACCTTCATCGTATACAAGGAGGAAATCACCATCACACCTGCTGAAACAGCCATCGGAAATCCAATGCATACAAATCGCTCTATCATATATGGTGTCAACAACGTCACAGCCGCTCATTTCATGAGCATATTTGATGACTTCTTCCCTTCTTCGTATAGCATCAACAAAACCGAATCAACGATACCGAGGTTGCGATACAAGGATTATATGAACGGCCCATGTCAGCGATTCCTTCCATTAAGTCCTTGGCTGGCGCCGAGCAATGTCACGCGACACATCGAAAGGCTAGCGACCGCAATGACAGATCGAGTCAGATCAAGTAGCAGCAACCAGATGCTTTTAGGGGAAGCATCGTACACGGAGAAGTTTGTCTCGGTACAATGGGAATGGCTCATTTTCCCGCTGTTGCTTTTGCTCCTAACTCTGATCTTCTTGGTATTGACGATAATCAAGACATCCAAGGACACGTCGACAGGGATATGGAAGACATCTACTATGCCGACGCTCATCTACAGTCTGCCGAAAGAGGCTCAAACCGGATTGGATCCTTCCTCTACATGGAGCAGCGCGGATCCAAAGAGCAAAAAGGTGCGCATCAAGCTCATGCCAAACATGGGGTGGCGAGTATCTGGGCAGGGCCAAGCTAGGCCGACGCCTCCTCCAGGCTGGTTGTAATATAAAATTTCCTACTACATAATATCAATGTAAAGAGATTAATGTTTCCCAAAGCTTGGTGTACCCTAGATTGAACAGCATGTAGCGATTAAGAAAGTAGTAAATATGGTGCTTAACATAACGTAAAACGATTGACTTTGCGGTTGATCCGGCCTCATGATTGACCCAGTGATTGACTTGACGACTGAGATGATGATCAAGACAGGAGTCAACTAGCCTAGGAAATGTGATTTCTGATATACAGCAGCGCCAAAGGTAAAGTTGTAATAGGCGGATCATAACGAAGCGCCCTTGGCTATACTAGTCTGTTAGTAGTTAGACGGCAGCCTAGTATGCATGTTGTGCAGCCTCGTAGGCGCTGCGCTGCTATCACTGTGCCTTTCTCCACTATTCCTGAAGTGCTTGGCTGTTTTCAGGGATAAAATTAACCACAACAGTATAAACGATGATCTAGTGAGCCTCATCGCTTGAGATAATCACAAAGAGGACGCTGGTTCACCATCCTTCAATCAATCAACAAAAACTCTGCGGTTGTTTTCGTATTGATCTGACAGATGTCGACCAAACCAAAGTCTCAGCTCCCATATGCTTCCCTGCGAAACGAACGACCCGCGTCTCCTACACTTGATCCACCTCCGGAAGAAGGAGCATCGCTTGAATTTACGCAACGTATTGAAAAGAAACTATTCGAATATAATGCGTCGAAGAATGTGTTCAAGCGCTGGCTCTTCGAGATGGTCAGTTGGCTGATCAGTGCATCCTGCATGATTGCCATCATCCTTATATACCTCCAAATCAAGGACCGGCCGATCTCCGAGAGTTCCATGTTCCTTATCTGGACCAATGTTCTAGGCAAAGTCTCGTCTGCAACTCTTATCATGCCGGTTACGGAGGCGCTTGGCCAGCTAAAATGGAATTGGTTCCAGAAATCAAACGCCATGTGGGATTTTGACATATTCGACAAAGCTTGCAAAGGCCCTCTTGGTGCCGTGATGCTGCTTTTCCGGACAAAAGGTCGATCCCTGGCGGCCCTCGGCGCTCTCCTGATACTGTTGTTGCTGGCTATCGATTCTTTCTTCCAGCAAGTCGTCGACCTTCCTGATATCTGGGCTCTCCAAGATACTGCAAGCGCACTGCCAAAGATGACACGTTATACTGCAAACGTCGACACGATCTGGAGGGAGGGTGCCATGGTTGCGAACACAAATGGAGATATGGCTCTTGTAATCGACAAGTTCTCGTACGGGAATGGTACTCAACCAGTAAAGTTTGGAAACGGTACGAGACCCGACATTCCTGTGGTAAGTCATCTATTTCAGTCCACTTTCTACCTGCTCTCGATAGTCTGGTATGAAACCGTCATATGATTATTCCTCCAAAATAGATCTCAATTTCTTTTGTAGACTAACAAATGATTGCAAACAGTCATGTCCAAGCAGTAATTGCACCTGGCCAGTCTACGATACGCTAGGCGTTTGTAGCGAATGCGCAGACATTTCAAGCTATCTCACGTTCGATTGCCTCACTCAACGTGTGGATTGGACTTCTGAGCTGAGAGGTGGCTTCAACAACGAGGGTGCATACCCCAACGCAACTATGTGTGGATATTTTCTCAATGCCACAGGAGAAAATCCTATTCTCATGTCGGGCTACATCTACGACCCGGAAACAGCCATCAAAGGCGAGGCGCTCCTTACGCGCATTCTTCCTCTCACAACCCTCTTTACTAGAGAACTGCTGTTTGGCGAGGGCTCTATCCATTTCAAAAACCATCGCCATACCATTGCCGATGTATTGGTCGTTTCTGCTTCTAATGGCTCGGCAAAGAAGGTACTTGAGGACGCACCACCTATCGCAAATGAATGCGTGTTGTATTGGTGTGTCCAAACTCTTATATCCTCTTACAACTATGGATTGTATCACGAAGAAGTCATTGAAACTACATTCAATGCCACCGCCGGTACATCACCATGGCTGGCAATACCCTACAAAACGGAGTTTGAGAACGGAACAGATATCTTCCATACTGAGGATGTTAACATTAGTACCAATTACACCGAAAAAGAGGACAGCAACTCGATCTATGGAGTCTCAAACGACACCGCCGCCGCCATTATCCAGGCATTTGTCGACATATTTCCGTCTTTTACTACAGTAGCAAACGAGACTTCCCTCCCAGTATTGCGGTTCAAAACTTGGTCTGGAGGCCCTGCATGGACACGAAACCTTGCTTTCAATCCCTGGCTTTCATCCAATATATCCAGCCACATGCAAAGGCTAGCGAGAGCCATGACCAACGTAATGCGATCGGTCTCCACTCACCAGGACGTAGAAGGTCTTGCTTTTTCCAAAGAGATCTTCGTTTCAGTAAGATGGGAATGGCTCGCTTTTCCACTGGTCCTCCTTGTTCTCAGTCTAGTGTTCCTGGTTTCGACGATGAGAAAAACGTCAAAAGATACTGAGACAGCCATATGGAAAACATCAACAATGCCCACTCTTATCTACAGCTTACCCAAGGAGGTACAAGGCCAGTTGAGCGAACCATCCGGGTGGAATAGCACGAACAAGACGAAGAAATTGCGGATTCGATTGCACCCGAAATCCGGCTGGAGAGTGTCTGGCCAGAGCCAATTAAACACATCCCCGCGATTACCGCCACCAGCCATTCAAGCGCCTCGTGGATGGATATGAAGTCATCACAACATAACTCTATAATAATCTTGTATGCATCGAGTTTATTCTTCATTAATCACCACTTTCTACACGCTTGTTTCCGCTTTCACAGAACTCTTCACAATTCATTTCCCGCACTCGAACTGATATCCCGAGGCGAGATATGAGCAATGATCACAGCATGACGTATGTCTCATCCACAGCCTCATGACCAGGCTATCAGAAGTGTGAAAAAAAGAGTTGGCATTAGAAACTTCACACAGGCTGGGGAAGTAAGGTTGTAGATAGATTCTCTTTTCATTACTACATTTGCAAAAGAAAAAAGAAACGAGATGCGCTAGGGTATAATGCGTAGCATCTGCGATATGATGCTGTCGTAGAAAAAAAAATGTATATGTACAATGCCCTTCCGGCTCTTCCTCCATCGATCGTCAAGTAATGAGGCGCTAAGAGATATAGAGACACGGCGTCCCTTTGCCCACTATGCGGCACACGAGTTGAATGCGTACGAGAGGCAAGAAGCTCGAGTTAAAGAATAAGATGCGGCAGCCGACCAGCGGCATCTTGGCATCAATTACTCAAACAAGCCGGCCGATGAGTAAACTCCCGTCGCTCTCATTCGCCCTAAAATCGGGATTGCGATATACCGTATGCGCTGGTCTCGGAACCACGGGCGACAAACTACTCCAAGTATCCTGACTGGAATGCCTTGGCTGTGGCGCCTCGGTCTCTTCGGGACGTTGGATGTGAATCATCGGGGTCTTGGAAGACGCATGACGAGATTTAGAAGAGAACAAAGAACCAAGCCTGGGTCTTGTGGGCTTCGGCTTGGTATTGTTGTTGGGAGATGGGCTGGTTGCTCGGTCGAGCATGGTGCAATCGATGAATTCTTCGCGCGAAGTCGAGCGTGATCGCTTGTGGTGGCCGGTACGCGAGACGGAGCCGCGCGGTGCGGTGTCGCCGGCAGAACTGAACTTGCGGGCGACAATGTCGTCGAGGACGGATTTGAAGTCATCGAGGAAGATAGTATCGGAGGCACACTTGAAAACCAGTGCGAAGCGCCAGTAGGGGTTGATGCCACTGCTTGCGGTGACTTTTGCGGCGCTGACGGCGACATCAGTCAGCAGGAAGGCGATGGATAGAATCATGCAAGCTAGCATGACTCCAAACCTTCTGTTGATGCGGATCAGGGTCCATAGGTTAAACGCATAGGTCTTTTTGATAGCGTGAATGAGTCTCCAGGTTGTGAAGATCCACCATGGGTCCCTGACTAGCGCCTCCCAGGGGCGCGTACGGAGATTGACTTTAGAGCCAGTGCTAAGCTGGTTAAAGTACGCAAAGTTGGACCATGCTTCTGCGACCCAAAAAGGTTGTACGCAAAGCAGCGAGATGATGAAAAGGCGGGAACCCCATAGCGGCAAAAAAGGTCGAATCTTAAGCCAGGCGACTACGTTGTGCAGAAAGTATGAGATGAAGAGGAGGGTAGCTGTGGCTGACAGATACCATCCATAGTGCGGGTCATCGACAAAGATAAAGGTACCGTGTCCGATGGCGAGAAGAAGCTTTGGATATCAGAACGTAGTCTAGTAACAGCCAAGGCGGGTCTTACCTCGAGTAGAATAAGCTTGTGAAGCCAGATTCCGGACCGGTAATTGCAAAAGACAATTAAGATGAGGATAATCAAACTGCCCACATTGTATCCTTGTGCCCAGGCCTCGAGAAAGCCTCCTTCGAGAGTCATGCTGCTTCTTGTAGGCGGTGAGGTGCGAGTGGTCGCCGGCTCGGGCATTCGCTTATCCATGGCCAGTGATCCACCATTGACGTTGCTGCTGAGAGGAGCCATGATCGCATTCGCCGTTGGGGTTTGAAATGAGCAGCAGGTCAACCTGGAGCCATGTATTGTGTTGCGATTGCCACGCAAATTCGTTCTCGTATCGCTATCTTATTACGTGGCGGACGTTGGGGTTGGCGGTGGGCGTAGAAAGGAATTGACAGCAAACGATTCAGGCAACCTGGGGTTAGTTCACTTTACATAGGATGCATGTGCAGAAGGGCGGAAAAAATACAAGGCAAACACCACGCCTATGATCAGGCCAAGATCCGGTGTGGCGGTTGTAAGGCGGTCTGGTAGCGGGGGAGAGCGAGGCTATCGGGGTTGCTGACCGCAGCGGGCAGCTGTGAATGGCCCCGGAAACGGACACAACCGACACTTCGCCATCGCAACGGACATGCCATCGTCTAATTTCTGACCGTGGCAGCGCGGGAGCAATTTTCGTTGCGCTGACCCGTCGAGTGCATCCTAGCAAATGGTGTGCAGCGTATTGAGCGATGTGTTGTTGATCGGCAGTGATGTCAGTCGTGGCTGATGTGTGGTGAGAATAGCCATAAATAACCTGACACGACTGCGAAAGCCATCTTGTGACTCGACAGCTAGCCGACACTCTTGTTAAGCCTCACTTACCGTCACACGGTCTTTTTTTCGCAAAAGATTCAGGTGACGGTTGACTCATTTCGAAAGCGCAGCTCATGGGCAATGTCTATCTTGGGCGAAAGGCGGATCGGTGTAAGCATGCTTGCCGTGTAACCACGAGCGTAGCCGAAGTTGGCGGTCTAATATGCACCGCCGTGATGTAAGCGACGACGTCCAATAGATGGTCAAGCCGCCGAACCAAAGATGGAGGGTAGGAATCATAAACGGATACCGTAGATGTTTGAACCGACCATGTTTTTCCCCGCGTTGTGTCAGCCTTCGTACCCCACGTCGTCTGCATTAGTCGAGATGCATTTCAAGAGCAAATCAACTGGAGGCATGCCGGAATGTAACAAAGAGTATTACGTTCAGTCCAGCTTTTAGCATTCCTGTTGAAGGCTGATTGGCATTCCACCGCGAAAATCGTACTCGACACTGTCAGGGCTAACATATTTGTCTGTACCGACCCTAGCGTAACATCATGCCACAGTTTGGTGCAAGTTGGCATTATACAGCTTCTTTATCTCGATTATTGACTTTCAAGGACCCTTTTAGCGCCGTCACTGATGCGCTTAACCTCTATGTGGCCCTTCTTAACCACATCTTCCATCATCTTCTTTGCCTTTTGCAGATCATCTGGTAGCACTTCGCGGTTGACGTCGAACTTGCGCAGCTTTTTATTATGCTCCTGTCGCGCTTGTTGAATGTGCCTGTCTGCGCGCTCAGCAGCCTTGACAGCCGCCTCGACGGCAGCACGGCGCGATTCACCCGTTGGTGGTGGGAGGGGAACTTGAATAGTCAGAGGATTGGAGGGTTCCGGTGAAAGAGGCGTGAGCGAGTGCGGAGATGCAGCGATAGCAGTAGTTATGGGTTTGATGTGCTTTTGTTAAGTCAGCCATGATGCATCTGTTGCCGTTGTAGCGCTGAACGTACCCCTTCCTCTCCGCAAATGACATTCAGCAATCTTCCTCTCGGCACGACTTGGGCAATGTCCCCTAGTCTGACGCTCTCTTTGCCATGGCTAGCTGTACCCAACTGCACCTTCAGGCTTTCTACAATATCCGGATTGAGCTTTCCTCCACTTCGCAGTTGGCTCAGTTCATGTGTCAGCTTTTCAATTGCCTGGAGTATTTGCGCTTCCAGCCCGGAGACATCGTAGGCTTCGTCGGTGGGGGTGAAAGCACCAGCTTTGCTAATTGGCGGTGACGAGTCGGTTCGCGCGTGTGATTTGTTCGCTTTACCGGCCTTTTTGTGTAGCTGTGGGCTTATTGAGAAGCTCCGAACAGCCTGGGGAGAGCATTGCGGCCTCGATGCACGAAAAACAGGCCTGGGTGGTGTGAGCGGAGAGGAACTTTAATGTTTGCGCAAAGCAACATTGGAGCTTACAGAATGCGGCATGGCGACTCAATGGCCCTTAAGGGCGTACGGGGAGATCCATGTAAGCTGGAGTACAGAGAGACGCGAGGGACGGCAAGTCGTGACATTGTTAATTCGTTGTCGAGGGTGTGGAATGTTTTGCTAGTGCAGATGGTTGGAAAGCACAGACATTTAGCACGCGACGGGAACAACGTCATCGCGCCCGAACTACCACCAACCTTATTCCAATGTCCTAGTGGAATGATATAGGGAGATTAAATTCAGACGTGAAGCGAATTGATCGAGTCGCTCCGATATTGTCATCACCCACCTGATCCACACTTTCCGCGAGGGCCGCTCAAGATCTAACAGCATATGCCTCCTCGCTCCTCGTTAAGCACATTGCCTTAGCAACATATACCTGATACAGTCGCCTCTTCCTCATGCCCAAGATTTTCTCAGCGCTGCTTCTTCATCCAGATGCTCCTCAATAAAACTCCAAGAAAGCATAGATGGCGTATGCTAGACTCTCAGCAAATCACAGTCTAGACCTTTGTCCGCTTTTCGATTCACCTTGACAGCGTGTACGCGGTACTTCCTGTGTCGTCCCAGAGCCTCCATCTCCAGACTGTATATCCCTTGTGATTGCAATTATTAGCTGTAAGGAATTCTTTATCCCCTCCATCGTGGCACCATTGGACTACCACTCAACGTGGATGAAGTATATCTGGTTGGCTGATTGGGGCCACTCATGTAAGGATCCTAAGCGGCATGTGGAACTCAAGGTAAGGTTGATTCAGAAATTATGTATTATCATCAGGATACAGGTGTAATTTCATAATTTGAGTTTATTAGAAGTCAGAAAATACAATTACAACCTATGCTTGTCAGTACTTATTTGCATTTAAGCCATCACCTACATCAGCCAGACCAACAGTTATATGCTCTTCTATGACTACAAGCTCTACAAACAAGGCAAACACATCATTATTAATGCATGTATTTCCCTTGCTACTATAATCCCAGGCCAAATATGGGTTGTGATATTTGCGTGGCTCGCAGCATCCAGGATGCGCAGCTGAGTATATTTGAGATGCTCGCATTCCTCGCATTCAGGTTTGATCATCAGTTGTCTAATCTAATCAATGCATCAACTGTTGGAAGGTGAAAAACAGGACATGACTAGTTTATTGGCGATATGCCTTGTAAGCGCACACAATGCAAGATACCGGTGATTACCAAGGCAGACTTTGAAGAACCAGGCAGGTATCTTCATTCTCACATGGAGCAATGCGGCTTGAGTCATGTTGAATAACTCGATATCCGTTGATGTTCATGTACACGCAAATAGATTGAATTTCGGTAGCCGTCATTGTTGTTGTGAGATAAATGTTGTTATACTTTGGTAATAAGCATCTTCTAAAGTCACCGGTGAATTCCCAAAAACCCCAAATATGGAGACAAAGGGGTTATCTGATGGAAGACGGAATGAGATGAGACGATGTACCGGTGGAGGTGTCAGATCAGAACAGGCAAGGCGCCTCACCGTATACTGGGACCCTTGACTAAAGTTTGTTATCGATAACGATAATGCGCTAACTAGCCCCACCACAAAGTGCGCGCGACCACAAAGTGCGCGCGCGGCCTCACCAAAACTACCTTAAAAACGAGGCTATAGAGCCACACCAAATAGATATTATCACGATATATTTTGGTGGTGAGATCAATAGGCTTTAATATATATATACAGCTATAGAAATCGAGACGGAGTTCTAATCGCGCGGCCGCGACGCGAGGTTAGAGGTGGTGAGCTTGCAGCACCTCCCTGAGGCTCCTCACCACCTTGAGGCCTCGCGATAGGCTTCTTTTTTTGAGTAGCCTTTGCAGGAGCCATAAAGCTCCTTCTCCTACCCCTTTGAGAAGTTTTAATAGCTTTTTGAAGTTGTTTTGCAGCCTTGCGAGCCGCGATCCTTGAGGCCTTTTCAATAGCCTTCTCCTCCCTCTCCTTCTGCCTCATTAGAC